AGGAAGGAAGGAAGGAAGGAAAGAAAGAAAGAAAGAAAGAAAGAAAGAAAGAAAGAAAGAAAGAAAGAAAGAAAGCAAGCAAGCAAGCAAGCAAGCAAGCCCTCTTCCGGTACCATGAACACCGAACACCACACAGAATGGGTGAGGCTTCTCAGCTTGTATTCGATGAAATATACACTGTCTTCAGCAATAGGTGCTTACCATCAGTTTGTAGCAACAACCTTGTAGTAACAACAGCCTTGGCAACAGCCTGAGATGTTTGGGGTTTTCCTTGGGGCCCCTTTGATCAACAACTCAACTAGATGTAACCTATCCCTGTTACTGGAGGTTCCTCTGGTGGTGAAAGATGTCTAGTGGGGGACCGTCTCCCCCATTACTTGGTGATTCTGTTTAGATTTCTTTCATATATGTCTATGTTTTGGGAAGCTTCCATAGTAGTAGGTTTCCATGAGAGTCCTCAAATGGCCCTTACTGTCAGCTGTCCATCCCCATACTTCCTTCCTTACCCCTCTCTTCCATCCCCTCCCCATTCAGTCCTCCCATTCCAGTCTCCCCCATCTCTCCATCACTATATAATATATTCTCTTCCCCCTTCCTTGGGAGATCCTCTACTCCCCCTAGTTCCTTACTCGGTTCCCACTTCTATGGTTCTCTAGATTGTAGAATGCATGTCCATCAAAGGCTTAAAAGCTAACATCTACACAGAGAAAACATACAATAATATTTGTCTTTTGGGGTCTGTGTTGCCTCACCCAGGAATTTTTTTAAAGATCCACCCATTTACTTGCAAATTTTCCAATTTCTTTTTTTTGTTGTTGGTTTTTGCGGTGTGTGTGTGTGTGTGTGTGTGTGTGTGTGTTTGAGACAGGTTTCTCTGTATAGTCTTGGCTGTCCTGGAACTAACTCTGTAGACCAGGCTGACCTCAAATTTACAGAGATCCACCCGATTCTGCCTCTCAAGTGCTGATATTAAAGACATGTCCCACCACCATCCTGCTCTAATGTCATTTTTTTTAATCAGCTGAATAAAATTTCATTGTATAAATGTACCACATTCTCTTTGTCCTTTCATCCACTGATGGACATCTAGGCCGTTTCCAATTTCTGGCTATGATGAACAGAGCAGCAATGAACATGGCTGAACTAGTGTCTCTGTAGTAGGATGTTGAGTCCTTTGGGTATGTGCCCAAGAGTGGCACAGCTGGATCTTGAGGTAGATCTATTCCCAACTCCCTGAGGAACTGCTACACTGATTTCCATAGTGGCTGTACAAGTTTGCACTCCCATCAGCAATAGATGAGTGTTCCCCTTTCTCCACATCCTTGCTAGTGTGAGCTGTCATCTGTTTTATTGATCTTGGCCATTATGACTGGTATTAGATGGATCTCAAAGTAGTTTTGATTTGCATTTCTCCGATAACTAAGGATGTTAAACACTTCTTTACATGTTCTCCCTCCCCCCCCCCATTTTGAGACAGGGTTTCTCTGTGTAGCTTTGGAGCCTGTCCTGGAACTTGCTCTGTAGACCAGGCTGGCCTTGAACTCCTAGAGATCTGCCTGTGTCTGCTTCCCGAGTGCTGGGATTAAAGGTGTACACTGCCCAGCACTTGTATTTCCTTTTTTGAGACTGTTTAGATCTGTACCCCATTTTGATTGAGTTATTTGTTGATACCTCGTTTTAAATTCTTTATATATTTTGAATATTAACTTTCTATCTGATGTGTAAAGATCTTTTCCCATTCCGTGGCCTACCACTTTGCCATGCAGATACTGTTCAGCTTTATGAGGTCCCATTTAATTGCTGTCCTTAGCGACTGGGCTATGGGCGTCCTTTGTATTATCCCTGCTCCAATGAGTTCAAGCCCATTTCCCAGTTTCTCTTCTGTCGCTTTCAGCCTGATGTCGAGGCCCTTGCTCTATTTGGAGTCTGAGTTTTGTGCAGGTGATACATACAGATCTATATGCATTCTTTTTTGTTTGAGACAGGGTTTCTCTCTGTAGCCCTGCTCTGGTAGAATTCTGCGCTGAATCCATCTAACTCTGTGCTTTTTTTGGTCTGGAGACTTTTAATTACTGCTTTAATGTCAGTAGATGTTATGGGTCTGTTTAAATTGCTGATTTGATCTTAATTTAACTTTGGTAGGTCTTTTATATAGCGAAATTCATCCATTTATTTTAGGCTTTCCAGTTTGGTTGATTATAGATTTTAAAGTTACATTTCTTAAAAATATTTATTTATTATATATACAGTGTTCTGTCTGTCTGCTTGCTGGCCAGAAGAGGGCACCAGATCTCATTACAGATGGCTGTGAGCCACCATTGGTTGCTGGGAATTGAACCCAGGACCTCTGGAAAGAAGTCAGGGCTCTTAACCACTGAACCATCTCTCCAGCCCACCTTCTTCTTCTTCTTCTTCTTCTTCTTCTTCTTCTTCTTCTTCTTCTTCTTCTTCTTCTTCTTCTTCTTCTTCTTCTTCTTCTTCTTTCTTCTTCTTCTTCTTCTTCTTCTTCTTCTTCTTCTTCTTCTTTTCTTCTTCTTCTTCTTCTTTTCTTCTTCTTCTTTTCTTCTTTTCTTCTTCTCCTTCTCCTTCTCCTTCTCCTTCTCCTTTTCTCCTTCTCCTTTTCTCCTTCTCCTTCTCCTTTTCTCCTTCTCCTTCTCCTTCCTTCTCCTTCTCCTCCTCCTCCTCCTCCTCCTCCTCCTTCTCCTTCTTCTTCTTCTTCTTTAAAAATATTTATAATGTACACAGTGTTCAGCCTCCATGTATGTTCAGCCTCCAGAAGAGGGCACCAGATCTTATTACAGATGGTTGTGAGCCACCATGTGGTTGCTGGGAATTGAACTCAGGACCTCCAGAAGAGCAGTCAGTGCTCTTAACCTCTGAGCCATCTCTCCAGCCCCTTAAATTTACATTCTTATGATTCTCTGGATTCCCTCAGTATTGGTTGTAATGTTCCCCTGGTCCTCTCTAAGTGTACTAATTTGGATCTTCTCTCTCTCCATCTTTTAGTAAATCTGGGCACAGTATCTGTTGTAATGTTCCCCTGGTCATCTCTAAGTGTATTAATCTGGATCTTCTCTCTCCACCTTTTAATCTAGGCAAGCGCTTGTCAATCTTTCAATTTTCTCAAAGAACCAACTCTTCATTTCAGTGATTCTTTGAATTGCTTTTGTTTCTATTTCATTGATCTTAACCCCGAGTCTGATTAATTTTTGCCATCTTCTCTTTTTGGGTGTGAAATATTTTTGTTATAGGTCTTTCGGGTGGGTCATTAAGATGCTAATATGAGATGTCTCTCCAATTTTCTGATGCAGGTATTTGGGGTTATGAACTCACTTCTTGGAACTGCCTTGTATCCCATGGGTTTGGGTATGTCGTGTTTTTATTTTCATTCAGTTCTAAATGTGTTTTAGTTCTTTTTTGATTTCTGTGTTGACCTATTTTCCATTCAGTAGTGAGCTGTTCAGTTTCCATGGGTCTGTGTACTTTCTGTTGTTGATATCCAGCTTTAATCCTTAGTGGTCAGACAGGATGCAGGGGCCTGGTGTAGGCATATTGTCTTAACTGCTTGTGTTTTGCACTGGGATCTAAGCATCTGGAATTACAATTGTTGAGGTGTTTCTAGGTGTTGATGATCTGGTCTTGTCTTTTCTGGGCAGTTGTTCCATTCTTTGGTTGCTGTTGCCCTCTCTGGACAAAGTGTGGTGGCCGTGGGGTCCCTGGTAAGGAGTGGCAGGAAGGAATGGAGATGGGGTAAGAGGGAAGGCTGAGAAGCATTGAGGGAAAGAGCTAGGTGGATCTTGTCCACAGGAAGAGGTGGAGTCTCGGGGAACAGAAGTAGGATGGGAGGAGGGGACTCCTGCAAGCAGGCTGCTAGAGGGCTGAGTGAGACTGGAGAGATCATTATGGGGGACCAGCTCTGTCGGATTTAAGCTTCAGGGTGGAGCCCATAGAAGAGGTCTGTTTGTTAGATTTTGGAGGGCAGAGCAAAGAGACAAAAGGCAGGAAAGAGACTAGAATCTTACCTCCACAAATGAGACTGTTTATTAGCACACACCGGCAGCCTCTCTCCTACAAGAATGGAGGGGGTCAATGAAGGGAGTGAGTTTGTTAGGCTCTTAAGAGCAGTGGGCCAGGGGCTTAGGTACTAGGAAGATGGTACATTGGTGGAGGCTACTTGCAGATTGCAATGACCTCCTCCTAGGCTTGCTTTTCCCAACAGGGTAGTGTTGGGAACTCTGTAACTCTTTCCCCCTGCCAGGGTTGTTAGGTTGTTGACTGACAGCGTTGGACAATGACAGCAAACACCTCAGCAGGACTTCTGTTGAGCCGTGGCTGGGGCATTCTAGCATTTCAGATCCTGGAAACAAAAAAGGAGTAGGGGTGTTGTCTCTTTCTTTGTTGTTCTGAGCTGAGGACGCCTGTTGTTTGGAGGAGGTAGTCCCGGGTCTGTCGAAGAGGTTTGTCCTTGGGTCCACTTAGCAGGAACTAAGTTTGAACTTGATTGCTCTGCTGGTCATTCCATTGCTGTCATGTGCTCCTGGAGAAATATCTGGTAGAGGATCAAAAATAGATGATTTGGTCACAGAGTAATGTACCAGATCATTCTTTGGTCTGCCAGCTCCCGAATAAAGATACGTAGATTTTTTTATTAATTATAAAAGCTTTGCCTTAGCTTATGCTTATTCAAAGCTAGCTCTTCAAACTTAAATTAACCCGTTTATACTAATCTACATTCTGCCATGTGGTTTGTCACCTCTCCTCAGTACCTTATGTCTGACTTCTTCCATATCTGGCTGGAGAATCTCCTGCACCTTAGATTCTTTCCCAGAGTTCCCGTCTCACCCGGAACTCCTGCCTAGCTATTGGCCTTTCATCTTTTTAGTAAGCCAATCAGAAGATGCTTTAGGCAGGTGTGGTAAAACAGACACAGCTTCATACAGGTACAAAAGAATATCCCGACAGTAAAACCAGAGACAGCCCAAAAGGTGGAGGGAGGGAGAGAGGTAGAAGGGGGAGAGACAGACTGAGGTGGTGAGAGGAAGCGGGATCTATCCACCTATGGTATAGATTGGAGCTCCTATATGGAGGGGGAAGGGTTTGTATTGTGTCTTGAGGGCTGTTGGTATTTGGCAGGGGTGAGTCAGGTCAGAATGGGGAGGATCCTGAAGAGTTGCTAAGTTCGAAGAGAACTAGATCTGTGGTCAAGATTGTGGAAGAATGGTGGGAGGGAGGAAGTTTTCCTTCCAAGTCTAGTTGTTCAGGGTGATAGCGACCAGTTCCACCACCAGCAAGAGCTGCACCAAAAGCAAGCTAGCTGGAGTGGCGGAGGTCCGGCACATCGAAGGGAAGGGAACAGGAGAAGAGAGAGGATGGGTGGGAAGAATTGTGTCTGGCCTGAGGTGAAGGGAATGATGTTCACTTATAGCCAGAGTTTCTCCACAGTGTCCAGGTCTTTTCGTGGATGTATCAGCAATAAAAAATAGCTGTTGTCGGGTGAGAGCCATGGTTTGGGTGTGGGGGAAGTCTGGGCATTTTAAGGGAGGTGTTTGGTATGTAAAACATTTAAAAGGCAGGGTAAAAATGTTAGTAATAAGAAGTGACAAGCATCTGCGGAGGAGCCGGGGTGGTTAAGAAGCGAAAACCCGCACAGAGAAGGAGGTGTCTCAGACCACATAGGATTTGTCAGTGTGGAACAGCATGGTTCCGGCAGGAGCCTGCAAATCCATCCTCAGCATGAGTCAGAGCCACTCGTCATTTTGGAGTTCTGCGGCCGCCGAAGAATGGAGCTGGTCCTGAAGGATGTTAAGCTCATGTGGAAATCCCTTAAGGCTGTTTGAGAGTTGCTGAGAAGGGTAAACGGATGCAAAGCAGGCTTCATGCCAACCGTTTTAGTTCCGAGTCCCAAAAAGAATGGGTAGAGTGGCATGAAGAGGGATGAGCCAGCGGGCATGTGAGTCCCCCTTTCATAGGCCACCCTAACTGCTTGTACGGGTTTGGGGCGCACATCTCTCTACTTCAAGCTGACAAGAGTGGCAATGTAGAAAGGGCGGTAGTTAGAGGACCTCACGGGGGACCATTCTGGGGAACACATGAAACTTAACAGACGACAAAGAGATCTAGAACGCGAGCCAGTGATTTGGCACTAACATATACTTTTGGATTGTGTAATGGAGGGGGTTATGACTGTACACCCTTGTGGGGAACATTAGGGGACAAAGTGAAAGAGGGAGAATGTTATGTCAGGATCAACAGAGTTTTAGTGAAGTTAAATGCAGTTGTATAACTGGCTTGACCAGAGTTCTGTAGGAGGACAAGGCAACTGTGATTAGCTGTTTGTTACTTCAGACTTCTGCTTAAGGAACAAGTACCTGGAAGCTTTGTCAGTTAAAGTCAGCATCTAAGCGACAATTTAAAAGAGAAATAGAGCTGGGCGGTGGTGGCGCACGCCTTTAATCCCAGCACTTGGGAGGCAGAGACAGGCGGATCTCTGTGAGTTCGAGGCCAGCCTGATCTACAACAATAGCTAGTTCCAGGACAGGATCCAAAGCTACAGAGAAAACCTGTCTTGAAAAACCAATATATATATATATATATATATTCCTGTTGTCATGTTTTATAAGATTATTTAGCAACATTCCACAGACATCACTTGGATGTCCTGAATGATTTTCTGAGGCTGTGAGTCTGATGACAGTAGCTGCCAGCCTGTTTTAATAGAGAACGTGGGTGGTTTGGGTGTGGACACTGGAATTAGCTTTTGCTAAGAAAGATTTTTTTCTTTTCTTTTTTATTTAGACAGGGTTTCTCTACATCTTTTTGGCTGTTCTGGAATTCACTGTGTAGACCAGGTTTGACCTCAAGCTCATGGAGATCTGCCTGTCTTGTTGAGAATGTTGGTTACAAGTTGTTATGGATAATGGTCAGGAAGAAAGCTAAACAAAGGATATTGATTCAGAGCTGTTCTTTCTTTCTTTCTTTCTTTCTTTCTTTCTTTCTTTCTTTCTTTCTTTCTTTCTTTCTTTTTTAAGGGAGAGAGTGCTGTGGGACAATGGTTTGTACCCTGTCAATTGTATTTTAATAAAAGGCTGATTGGCCAGTAGCCAGGCAGGAACTATAGGCAGGACAACCAGGGAGGAAGTAGCGGCAGGGCGGAAGAAGAAAGCTTGGTCTGCAGTAGTGACCCAGCCATGGAGCAAGCAAGATGTGACTGCCTTGCTAAAAAAAAGTACTGAGCCATGTGGCTAACATAGACAATAATAATGGGCTAATATAAGTTATAAGAGTTCATAAGAAACCTGAGCTAATGGGCCAATCAGTTTATAACTAATGTAGACCTCTGTGTGATTTCTTTGGGACTTAACCATTGTGGGAACCAGGCAAGACAGAAACCCTGACAACACATATGTAAATTTCTCTTGATTATAAAGTTCTAAGCACCATGAAATGGAACAGTGACACACTCATCACTTGTTGTGGGAGGTTTCTCTCAGAGGCAATGTTAGGCGACATCTGGGGTCTTTGCCCAATACATGCAATAGCTTTTTATTGCTACGCTGGTGGTTTCCCTCTATGTTTTTAGGTTTTAGCCTGCATGACCCAGTTTTTCCAGAAAACCTTGAGGTCTTATGCAATTAGGACCTAATTGCATACAATTGACTGGGAAAAATGAATGGCTGCTCAGGTGACCTTCCTCATGATTTTGTCTATCTTCTTTTTGAAGGAATTTAGCTTTTACCCAGTTCTGCTGTAATTATTTTAAGAGGAACCCCTGAAATTATTTTAGGAGAGTTTTTTTCCCCCCAGTTTTTCAAGACAGGGTTTCTGTGTTTTGGCTGTCCTGGAACTCACTCTGGATGGCTGGCCTTGAACTCACAGACATTTGCCTCCTGAGTGCTGGGATTAAAGGCATGGGCCCCCACTGCCAGAAAGCTAACCAGTGTATATACGTATATACATACATGTGTGTATATATATATATATATATATATATATATATATATACACATACATACATATATATTATACTGGAAAAGATATCAAGTTGCAGAGTAATGTAGGTACCTGTAACTTAGATGCCATCAAAGAGGAAACTATGAAAACCCTGCCATCTAAGGTCACTCAGAAAATGTTGATATCGGCTTGTTTCTTCCTTAGTTTGATCATGTCTTCAGAACTAGAAACTAGAAATACAAGCAGGACATAAACAAAGGCAGACCATAGGCATAACACAAAGGAGCCCCCAAAATAGAAAGACCATCCTATCCAGGGGAAGCAGGCTTGGAAATCCAGTTGAAACTGCAGGCGTTAGGACCCAGTATAGCTTCTATCTCTAGCCCTCCTCCAGTTTCATGGCTACTGGACTGGTTCTGGACCTTCTCCTGGGGCAGAAATGGGTCATGTATGTCACAATGGGCATCCTTAGGCTGAACACAGGAGGGTTCTCACAGGAATCCCTGAGCAGCCCAAGCCTGGTGTAGGAGGGTCTTTTTTCTATGTGTTGTTGTTATTGGTCAAGTAAAGAGACTGTCTTGGCCTTTTGATAGGATAGCAGCTTAGATAGGTATAGTAGACCGAACAGAATGCTGGGAGAAAGAACGTAGAGTCAGGCAGATGCCATGACTCTCCTCTCCAAGACGGACATAGGTTAGACTCATCCCGGTAAGTCACATTCATGTGGTGATATACAGATTTCATAGAAATGGGTTAATTAAGATGTGAGAGTTAGCTAGGAAGAGGCTAGATATAATGGGCCAGGCAGTGTTTAAATGAATACAGTTTCCGTGTAATTATTTTGGGTAAAGCTAGCTGGGAGCGGGGCAGCGAGAAGCAACCTGCTGCTCCTTTTACAACACAAGCCTCCACCCTTTCTCTGTTTCTGAGAGTCACTCCCTCCAGCTCCTGGGCAACTCTCTGGGCGATGCTGTTTATGGACCTTTGCAAGAAAACCTGATGGGTTCCCTGGGAGGCCAGTCCCTAGCTGAAGAGCCTGAGGGTGACCCTACCCCCATGGAACACAGCAGGTGCTGGGGAGTTGTCAGTTCAAGACCAGCTGGGCCAATTCCCCACTAGGAGTCCTCATCCGTCCGCCCTTGCTTTTCTCTCAGTGAAGGCAGACCAGGTGCCTGTAAAGCCGTCCAGGCCATCTCCACCTTGTGCAGGGTGGGATGGGGGGGGTCTCATGTGGGAGTGTCTCCAGTTTTCTCTTGTCTCCGCCCAGCAGGAGGTTTCTATTTTTGAATTCTTGAAAAAGAAAACAATTTAGACAGAGCCCAGTAATAGTACAAGCAGTCAAGTTTTCATTAGACCAGGCAAGGAAACAAGCACGGGCCCTTTAGTACCAGCGGCAACAATCGTGACCCAGATGAACTTGAGATTTAAGATTTCTCCCTCTGAGGCAGGGAGGGGAGCAGAGAAAAATGTAGAGCTCAATAAAAATCAAGAAATTTTTTTAAAAAATGAAAAAAAAAAGATTTTTCTCTCTGTTGTCCTCTTCCCTGTGCCTCCTCCAGGGTGGGAACTTCTAGTTGGCACGTTTCTCAGAAACCCATTTTACCCAGAATTCAACAGTTTAAGTAGGTATATAAGATGCAAGAATTTGAGTAGGGGCTTAAGTTCTCCCAAAATGAAAAGTTCACCAGGGAGAGGGTAACATCACTGTACAAACTCTCATGGCGAGGAAGTCCCTGAAGTTTTGGTCTGCTCCATCACTCATTGCTATTTTTTTTATTTATTATATATAATGTTTTGTCTGCCTATAAGCCTGTACGCTAGAAGAGGGCATTAGATCCCATTATAGATGGTTGTGAGCCACCATGTGGTTGCTGGGAATGGAATTCAGGTCCTTTGGAAGAGCAGCTTAACCACTGAGCCATCGCTCCAGTCCACTCTTTCTCTCTTTCCTCTCTCCTCCTCTCCCCCTCTTCCCCCTTCTCCTCTCCTCCCTGCTTTCTCTTTTTTCCCTCTCTCCCCTCCTTCCTTCCTCTGTCTCATTGTCCTTCCATCCTTCTTCACTCCCTCCTTCCTTCCTTTCCTTTTTCCTCTGGTTTAGATCTTCCGCTGGTCCAAGCAGAGTTGACTACCATTATCGTTACACCGTTTTAAGGACCTTGAGTTGATCTACTTGTTCTTTACGGTCCATTTAGGGGGCCAGTTGGTCAGCGATAGGGAAGGTGAGCCCTGAGAGTGCCTCCAGTCAAGGGAACTGTCAGCCCTGGGCGCAGGTGCAGAGCACCGTCGCAGCAGAAGTGGGTGCGGGGAGCTTGCAGTGTGTGGTTGGCTTGGTGGCTTGGACCATGGTTCTAGCCTGTTGTCCCTGGTACACAGCTGTTAGTCCCGAGTGCGCGTGCCTCAAGCTTTCAACGCCGAGAAGGGTGGGACTCCAGAGGATAGCCCAGCAGCTAGGAGCTAGTCCAGCCCCTGGCTGGGGGCGGTCCAACGCAGGGGGCGTGGCCCGCCGGGGGTGGGCGGGGCCGGGCTAGTGTGTGATGGGCGCGCGCAAGCGCCTGGTTTAGCCGCGGGTCTCTGAGGTGGCGGCCATGGGGCGCTCGAGTTGGCGGTTGGTGGTCGCGGCCGGCGCGGGTGTCGCGCTGGCCCTAGAGGCACTGCCGTGGCTGGTGCGTTGGCTGCTGGCCGGGCGGCGGCCACGGCGCGAGGTGCTGTTCTTCCCGTCGCAGGTGACCTGCACCGAGGCCCTCCTGCAGAGCCCACGCTTGCCCCCCGGGCCCTCCTCGGGCTGCCCGTGCAGCCTCCCTCACAGCGAGAGCTCGCTGAGCCGCCTGCTGCGCGCGCTGCTGGCCGCCCGCTCCAGTCTGGAGCTCTGCCTCTTCGCCTTCTCCAGCCCACAGCTGGGGCGCGCCGTGCAGCTGCTGCACCAGCGCGGGGTGCGCGTGCGGGTCATCACCGACTGCGACTACATGGCCCTCAACGGTTCGCAGATCGGCCTGCTGCGCAAGGCAGGTAAACCGCCGCCGAGGGTGCACGCCAGAGGAGGGGCTGAGGTGGCTGGAGGACTTATTTATTTGACGCCCCAGCTTTTCAGGGGGAAGGTGGAGGCAGCAGGCAGGCGCGGGTGAGCAGGCCGAGGGGCCCAGGCTTATAGAACGTTCCGTTCCGTGACAGTGCTCTCCACTAGAGTAAGGTGTGCGGGAATTCCCACTTGCTCCTTGGCTCTGGCCTCGGAGGAGGGGTGTGTATAGATTCAGTCAGTTTCTGAGATTGTTACCTGCTGACCGGCGAAGGAAGGCGTGGAGGGTAAAGCGTAAAGAAGTTTGAACCCAGTCAACACTGAGGGACCCTCGGCTGCTTCTGCGTGGACCACAGGGGAATTAGGAGTGACTAGGGGCTAGTGTTGATTAGTGAGTTTCCCACTAGGCTGGGTGGTCACTGGGAAGGAGACCCTACAGTGTGGCGGATGATCTATCGCCTCTGGGCCCACAGGTGTCTGGCCAGCCTGTAGCTCTGCCCTGGAAACAGGTGGTGATTTCTGTCTTCCTGCGACCCCGGTTTGCTTTCATTTTAAGTGGCGGACCCTGCAGGAATGCAAACTTTGACTGCTAGATCCCTCCTTTACCCAAGAGTCAGTGCCCCTTCTCACCAACCAGGCTAGCCTGAGCATCGTGCCACAGTGACGAGAGGTTTCTAGGAATGTTCAGACTTTACGTTGCTCTTGACTTTTCCTTGCACACAGGCTGCCCTCCGCCTTCCCTGGGATAGTGTAGCTACCGGGTCTACTTCAGACACCAACCTGCCGTGTATATCACCCAGGGCGGGTCAGTGACAGCTACTCCCTGCCTTACTTACTGGCAGACCCGTCTCCAGTCAGTTCATCATTCTGGTGTGTGTGTGGGGTGGGGCAAGTAGATATCGGGCATGGACAATGTCACGGTATTCAGATTTTGGGAGAGCCATAAAACAAGAACCAAAGTGCCATCACAGATGGAACTTCTACTGATGATATGGCCACAGCTGAGTGAGTTCCAGATTGTTCCATCAACAGGTGCACCATCTGTCAGCATTTGGTTCAGCCCGGTACTTGTGGGGAAACATAAGTGAGAAGAAGGGTCTGGGAACCTTTACAAAGATCATATAGGAAGTGAGGTGCCAAGGATAGCTGCAGAGGCACTGAGACTGCTGGAGAGGCATTCAGGGACAGCATGATGTCCCCAAGTCATGAACTAGCTGCTGGGGATTGACTAAAGCAAGGAAGAGGTCCTCTGTGGTCTTGGTGAGGTGGCTGCTGCCAGACTTTGCTGTGATAGCAGGAGATGGGTGGAGTGGGAGCAGAGACAGGAGTGAAAGAGAGACAGGTAGATCACCTACCCAGCATGTGAAGGGTCTGGGTTTCACCCCAGCATCCCTGCCAACCAACATACCCTCAAAAGTAAGAAGCCAAAGCCAGAACTGTGGTGAGGATAGCAGGTTTGGATATGCCACAGCTTTTTCCATTCAGCTAGTGAGGCACCCTGGGAGGTGTGATTCAAGTTGGCCAGCCAAAGCCAAAGCACACTCCTCTCCTGCCTAGGCTTCTATCCTCCAGTGACTGAGTAACAAGAAAGGCAAGGGTATGTCACATGTTTGACTCCTTTCTCTGAAGGATTTTGAGGTAGTATTTAGACTTAGGCTTAGTGGAGTAGTGTGAATGAGTGGGTTGTTCCCCAGAGAAGTGTTTGGTGTCAAACAGAGTTCTTGCTTTCAGTGTGCTGACCTGGATGACAGACTGCCTTCTTCCTGTCATCTCAGTACCACCCTGTAGTAGCTGGCAGAGGACATCAGCAGGCTTGGGGGTAGCTGCACCTCTGTGGGCATAATTAAGGTTGCCTTGGCTCCACAGGTATACAGGTACGGCATGACCAAGACCTTGGCTACATGCACCATAAGTTTGCCATCGTTGACAAGAAGGTGCTCATCACTGGCTCCCTCAATTGGACCACACAGGCCATCCAGAATAACCGTGAGAATGTTCTGATTATGGAGGACACAGAGTACGTGCGGCTGTTCCTGGAGGAGTTTGAGCGCATCTGGGAAGAATTTGACCCCACCAAGTACAGCTTTTTCCCCCAAAAGCAGCGAGGGCACTGACCTTGCTCCGTCTTTCTTGGTCTTCCAGCTTGCAGTCCTGGATGCACTAGGCTGATAAAGTCTTCCTGTCCTTGTATCACCATCAGAAGTCAGGGGGTAGGCAACAGTGTGAGCTATAGCAGTAGTTGCCTAGATAGACAGGCCATCCTCTTTAAGTGGCTTCTGGGAATCACTAGACATGTCTAATAGTATTGACTCTCTGCAACTGGCCTTGCCTCCTTGCAGTTAGTCACAGGTGAGCACCACCAGTTGGCTATGCCTGAAGTTGTCTCCAGGCTTTGCTTTTAATTTTTCATACCCCTTAACATAAGAACAAACTGAACTGAGAAGTGACCTCGCCTCCAGCACCTGTGGACTCATGGCTATTTGCTCAGTCATGATCAGGAGTTGATGACCGGGAGTACTGGAGGTAATAAGAACTGCCCAGGCTGTGATCTCAGCTCTGGGGTGAGCATTCCCAGGGAGTCAGAGGAATAAGTTTCTCATATGCATTTGTGTCATTTTCTACATTTTTTGTTTTTATATGCAAATAGTTCAAGTGACATAAGAGAGTTTTGTCATTGTTCATGCTTGTGTGCATAACAAGCTCCATGTAGTCCCTTAATGTCAGTCTGAGTGGATAAAGTGTCCTTTAGCTCAGGGAACCATTAGCAGCAGATACTGCTCAATACAAGTGTTTTCTTGTTTTGTTTTTTGTGGGGAAAGAGGCGGGAAGATAAGGTCTCACCATATAGCCCTGACTGGTCTTCAACTCAGAGAGATCTGCCTAATTCGGCCTCAGGTACTGGGACTGTAGGCATGTGCCACCATTCCCAGCTATTTTCACCCTTTTTAATGTTACCTTTTACTTAGTGTTAGACAAGTAAACTTGATGTTGATTTTTCACAAGATCGAACAGAAACTGTAAAGTATAATATTTAGAAGTAGTTATGTTGAAGAAGTTCCTTGCCTTCTGGAGCTTGTGAGTTCTTAAGTGTGTGCTCAGGTGGGGGGGGGTGCGGGAAGATAACAAAATGTCCTTTGAATGACAGTGCCATTGGGGACCTTCAACTTCTGGCATATTCAATAAATATTATTTTAGAATATGAACTGTTACTTGTCTGCCTTAGCCTACTGCATACTCTTAAAATATTGTAGGGTAGTATACAGCTATTTGGACGCCTGTGATGAGGATAGAAGTCCTTGGGAGCAACAGCCACCTCCTGGTTAGCTCCTCTCTGGTACTATTTCCATACCTCCAAAATTAGAAGCATAATTCCTAGCCTGTTTCTCTTTGTCATCTGCCTGATGGTGTGTGTCTTCCTTGACTCCTATCTCCATCCCTTCCAGAGAAGGCTGGTATCCACGTGGCAGCATGTGGCTGTCAGGGGCTAAATAGCTTTGCTGAGTTATCTGCAGGTGTGAAGAGACATTACTTCATACGCTTTTTTTTTTTTTTTTTTTTGCTTGTTTTGAGACTGTCTCACTAGAACAGGCTGGCCACAAACTCAGTATGGCCCTAAGGCTGGCCTTATAATCCTGCCTCCTTTTTTTTCCCCTAAAGATTTATTTATTTATTATACATACAGCATTCTGTCTGCACATCAGAAGAGGGCACCAGATTCATTATCAATGGTTGGGAGCCACCAAGTGGTTGCTGGGAATTGAACTCAGGTCCTCTGGAAGAGTAGCAGTGCTCTCTTAAAACCTCCGAACCATCTCTCCAGCCCCCTGCCTACACTCTGTAGGTACTGGGATTACATGTATGTATCTACTTTGGGTGCTACAGGGTAGGGCATAGAACATGTGGGTGTCTCATTCGTCTCAGTTCCATTTTAAGATGATCTTTCCCTAAGGAATGGTATTAAAACCTTTGCTGAATGAAAATCAACCGACCATTCACTTAATGGTTTATGTCTGGGTTCTGCATTGTCTGAGTGTGGAACAGCAGTAGGTTCTGAGAACTGGCAACATGAATCCTGTTTCCAATATAGTCTTAGTCTTTTACATCTTCTTGGGAATCTTAAAATGAACACACCAATTTTTGGTAAAAATTACAAAAGCATCTAGGATTTTGACAGGGATTATGTTGGCCTGTAGATTAAGTTGGGGTTACCATTTTGAATTTTCCGACCCACGAGTGTGGATACCTTTAATTTCTCTTGATGCTTTTAGGTTTTCTGTTTACTCACAAATTTATTGGGTAGCCAAGGAGATACAAAAGTAATTACACATCAGAGAGATGACATAACTCCTAATAGAAGGTAGCCACGTTTTTGGAATCACAAGTGAAAGAAAAACACTTTAGGAAAATTAAGAAATGGCTTCCAGCCTGTGAGGGGGCATGGATGACCAATCTGGAAAAGGGACTGAGATGAGTTGGGATTAACAGTAGTACTCAGCATGAAAGCTATATTTGTTTCTCCTTTTCCCATCTTTGGGCTAAATTTATTGGTAGTGCCCAGGGCTGTTCAATACACTTGAGGCTTGCATTTTGTCTTAATGTTTTCTATGGAACTTTGGTCCTTTGGTAGTCTAGAAATTTTGTTTTGTCATTTGAAGAATTTTTGACCTTTTTAAGTCTTTTACATTTAGTCTGATTTTTTTTTCTTTTTTGGGCTGGAGTATCATATCAATGTTTGTAGTTTGAGTATGATTTATTACTTGTTACTGCATGAAATTGCTTAATTATTCCAGTCTTCAGAACTATGTAGACATACAACTGAGCCCTGCATCCCAACTTTCCAGTCTTCAGAATTACCGTGTAGAATGCAACTTTCTTTTTAGTAGTGTTAACTGAATGAAAAATTTAAAGAAGACCATGATTACTCCTTAAGTATGGAGAATATTTTTATTGTAGGTCTGAAGGAGGAGGCAGGCAGAGGGGAGTCCAGGCTGAACATGACCAGCAGACTAAACATAATGAGCCACTGACCAAGACCAGAGTAACCAAAATGGCTGAGATATAGGGGTCAGGCTGGGAGAAGGGAAGTGGAAACCCAACCCTTGGGAGGGAAGGTTTAGGGTAGAGCAGGTTGAGAAGTGCCTGGAGGAGCCATAGTGACTGAGTGATGGGGACAGGGAGCTGGCCAGCATCCTCTTTGATATGTTAATATGCACCCAGGTTTATAAGACCCACCACAGATGTCATCTAAAAGGAGCAGTTTTCCTTCTCCTTTCTGTCAGAGTGCCTTTTTCTTCATGAACTGCCTGGGCTAGATCCGATGTCTTCAGTGGGATCCGATACTAGGGAAATGTCAGTATTTTATTACTGTGATCAGTTTGGTGGGGATGGGAGATTCTTTTCTGTTCTTGGTTTTTGATTTTGTTTCTTCTGGAACTCACTTTGTAGACCAGGCTGGCCTTGAACTCAGAGATCTACCTGCCTCTGCCTCTCAAGTGCTTGGGATTAAAGCCTCCCCCCACACCCCAGCTATTTTTAAAATTTTAGTCATGAAAGAGTGATCAGCTTGCCAACTAATTTTAAATTGTACTTACATATCAGGCTAGTTCTCCAAAGCTTTTTGGTGTACAATTCCTTATAGTTTTTAATGGGCAAAAAACTACTGAAAAGTCCCTAAACAACTGCAATAACATACTAAAAATATTTATTCTTTTATGTCTTTTTATATCTTTCTTTTACTGTTTTATAACGTAAACTAAAGTTGATTTCTAATTGGTATAGAAACTTTTTTTTTGTATTTCCAGTCAGTTTCATATACTTTTTAAGTAAAGTTTGTAACAATATTGAAAAAAAACCACCCCAATTATTATCTTAACCTTTTGAGGGGTTATTATGGGAACAGATAGGGTCTTTCTGTGTAGCCCAGGCTAGCCTCAAACTCTGAATCCTCTTACATCAGAATATCAGGTTGGCTGCCATTATGTTTGGCCTGATTTATTATTCTAAGTATACTAAAGAAGATACAGCAAATATCAAGAATATACCATAATTAGCGAACACTGTTTTGTTAAATTTTGTGTTGTCTATTTTAGATTATGGTACTTTAAAACACACAGGCATAATTATATTGACAGTAAATCCACGTAGGACAGGCTGGATATAGTGGTGCACACTGGTGCTCAGTGAACTGAAGATGAGGCCAGCCTGAGCTCTAACTCCAGGGCTCATGCGGTAAAGGGATCGTCCAGCATGCTTGAGGCCCTGGGTTTCAGCTCCAGTACCACAAAACAAAACATGAGAGCTCTGATACAACAGTTCTAGTACCTTGATTAATAAAGGAACTCTCACTGGATTTTTTTTCCTATTCTTTTAACCCCTGAAGTACCTTAGATTGTATGCATTAAATACTGTGACTCATGTGTGAAAATGTGAAATCTAATGTAAATATCCTGAAAACAAAAAAAATTCTGAGAAACTGTAAAAGGAAAGCAGCAAGTGATAAAACTTAGATGACCAGCCCATTCTGGGATACTAGTAAGCTTATGACTCAGGACTTTAGGTGTTCTGGTCCTTACCTGGCTGAGTCAGCACCCATATGCATGCAGAGGGCAATGCAAAAATAGTTTATTATGATACAGTTCATGTAAAATCAAGCAGTATTTACACAATAAAAATGGTTAGCTACAGCCAAGGACTCTAGCTTGTCACACAAAGGAATAAATATTTCTACAAATTAACATTTCAGTTGTAGTGAACACCTCACACTGGACCATAAGAAGTTTGAGTTAGGGGATACTTTATCTGGAGGAAGGCCACACCCTGTGCACATACACTGAGGCCTAAGCTGGTTCTGGACAGCTGTGCTCACAGCCTCCCTGGCTCAGTGAGGCTCCATTTCCTTCTACATACAGTATTTAGTCTGGCAACCAAATTGTATCGCAACAGAAACTCAATACCAGGTGAGATGGCACAAGCCTGTGATTGCTGCGAAGTGGCCCTGTGTGGTGCTCTGTTCGCAGACATGCATCTCAGCCCCAGTCAAGCAGCTGTAGTGGGAGGTCACCTAGAGTTCTGATTGTCAAGGAGCCACTGTGATTGCGATGCTTACAGTATATTGTACACAGCACCTACAGAAAGCCACACTGGTTAAGTACCACAGAACTGGTTTTGAATCCTGGTATTAAAACCAAAGGTAAAGCTTACAGTAATTTAAAATTCATTTAAATTGAAGTTTGTGATAGAAACTAATACTGAGTTTAGTGTTCTTTACGATCTATTCCTAGCTAAAATAAAATTAGATGTGTGGTACGACTAACTTCTAAAGCAGAAATGAGCCAAGGGCATGTTGACTGGCAAGCTGGAGTGGGCTGTGTCAGCTAGGATTCTTATAATTGCACCTCTTACAGCAAATGATGGTGGCCATGGAAGCTGCGCCAGACCCACCTGTGACCCACAGAAATTGGAGAGGCCCTGAAGTCCTTCAGTTCTGAACTGTCCAGTTTTTAAACTCTCTACTGATGGGCTTGCTCCTTACCAGTGTCACAGAAATAGAACCAGGGAGCTTCCTGGACTCCAGCTCATGTGTGTGCACTCGCGCTCGCTCGCTCGCTCTCTCTCTCGCGCTCTCTCTCTCTCTCTCTCTCTCTCTCTCTCTCTCTCTCTCTCTCCAGGCAGCTAGATAGAGACTGGTGACCAGGCTGCTCCTGCACAACCCAGACCTGCAGTTCTATCAGAAGCTAGGCACCTAGACCTATGATCCCAGCCAGCTCCCCTAACAAAAACACTAAGAAACCTGAAGGCTGGGTGCCGAAAGTGCCTCATTTAGTCCTGGTTTTCCTTGAGTGACACTACTGGAGTCTCTGAGAACTTTTGGTAAGAACCAGGGCACTGCTAAGGGCTTGCTACAAATGTGGGTCAGGCACACTCTGCAAAACCCTTAAGAAGACTAGTTAATAACTCATTTTTTTTGTTGTTTGGATTATTTTTAGATAAGGTTTCATTGTGTAGTCTGAGTCCTCTGGGACTCACTAGGTAGACCACCAGGCTGGCCTTAATTAAACTTAACTTTGTCTTTGCCTCCCAAGTGCTGGATTGAATGTGAGAGCTACCATATCTCGCTAATTCATGGTCTTCTGATGTTTGAGTGGGGTTTACACTGAATCCAACACTGCCCTACACCCCCTCCCCCCAAAGGGATGTCTAGATAAGATGTTTTAAAAAACAAACGTTGCACTGAAATCTCCGTATCATGTCTCAGAAATACTTAATGTTACTTGCTAATATACAGGAAAGGCTGAGCGCTCCCTTGAGAAAGGCTGTATGCATCCCTGCACTGGTAGTCTATGCTTTGCAAGGTATATGTCAGTCAGCTGGAAGGTAACTGTCCCTCTACCAGCAGAAGCTAGGGACTGGGTGTGATTGTGCATTTGGGGGCTGAGTCTCCCTGTAGCTGCCAGCCAACTTTGGTATGCAGTTTGCATTGGATACATACATGGAAGCAGGAGTGGGAACTCCAGAGTTCTCCCTGATGTCAGGTTGCATGGGACCTCTGGGTTCTTATCCAGCCTGTTTTTGGGAGCCAGGGTATGGTTGGAGGTCAGAAGAAAGACCACTTGGTGTGTGGGACAGGCCTGCAGGTTCACACAAACAGTGCAGGCTATGCGGTATCCAGCCACTTCCCTCAGCATCAGATAAGTGCCCGCAATGAGGAGTGTGTTCAGTTCTCTGTAGTACCAGGGTAGAAGTCAGTGCACCATCTCCCTTTGTAGGGAAGTTAACAGTAGTACACATCCCATCAAATATCTTTAACACCATTTTTTTTCCTAGTTAAATCTCTTAGGCTCCTTTTTGACACATATTCTGAAGTTCACAAGTATGTTTTTTGTAGTGCTGTAGTTGAATCCTAGGCCTTACATATGCTAGGTAGGTGGTTCTATGATTATTAAGCTATACATACCCTTAGCCCATCTGTATTTTGAGTCAGAACCTTGTTATATAGTCCAGACTGACCTGGAACTTGGAGCCCTTAGTGCAAGAGTACAGGCATATACCATTACACCCAGTTCAGTAGTGTTCTGATGGATCCTGTGGAGGGTCAACTCTGACTTCAGCTTTCTCTCAGTGAATTTACACATTCCCAGCCTTCTTCCCTCTGGAATTCCCTACTTCATGAGGTCCTGGCCTCTTCTGGTATGCCTGAAACAATGGGCTTCCCATTATGGCCCTGGCTCTGCGGACACAACCACACTGGAAAATCTGCAGCCCTGTGTGACAAACATGTTCTCTGCTCAGCTGCTGGACACCACATATATGCAGGATGTAATTTAAGCATGTGTTCACATTGGTTGTCTAATGATGTCAGGTAGATTCCCTGTAATGGCAGTTTGCTTGCAGATTACAAATGTGTATTTACAAGAAAATAAAATTATGAAGTAAATTTTAATACTGCTCCCACCATGATATGGAGAAAGCATGCCACTGATGTTTGGGCTGGGAGTAGTCTTGAGGCTTCTTGATCTACACTACTCCAAACTCAGTAAGCATCGTCTTCTACTGATATCAAGACCAACTCTACTTGTACATTTGATGCCTCCTCTCTGGAATATACCACCTTCAGCTTCTTTCCAGGGAATGGGATGCCTGTTAAGGAGGTCAGGCAAAAGTGAGCCTGGCGAAGTCTGCGGGAAGGAAATTGACAGAGGACAGCAGCAGGCCAAATAAAATGCTGCAATGGGCCTGCATGGCCACCAGGGACACAGAAGACCAGCTTCTTTCCTGGTTTACTTCTGCCAGAAGTCACCGCCAAGAAACTCAAGATGCACCCTGATTCACATTACTGCTCAGAGTGGCTTGGAGAGTGGGAGATAATCCAGGTACCCTTGTACTGTGTCAAACACCTATACATGAAATCAGCCCTAGAGCAGAGTTAACTGTATCATGGCACAAGTGAGCCTTCAGTGGGAGCGTGAGTGGCAGATGAGATAGGTACAGCTTATCTCCCAACCCTTGTCTCTGACTCGAAGGTACTGTGTTTAGCAAAGGTCATGTCCAAGGGTTCTGAGGCGAAGAGCAAAAAATGTTCTTTTGACCTGTAGGCTTGTCATCTTCAGAAGGTTCTGTGGCATGGCAGGAAGATGATTTCACTGGGGCCAGAGAGCCCCAAGGGCAGCAGGACAGTTGCAAAGGAACCACACCAGAGAGAACAGTAGTCCTCAACATAAAACTATAGCTCCTGAATCCCAGCCATGCACATGCTACTGTGTGGACCACTCTGAGCTAAAAACACTGTTTCAGCAGCAACTTATTTTCAACAGATCTGACTCGCCCAATGCTGAAAACATAAATAGCAACTGAGCAGCATGTGCCAGTGAGGAACTTAAAAATCTGTGCAAAGGATGTAGCCAGGGCTTGTCTGTTGGCTAGCAGTGCACTTGGATATGACAATAAAGCAGGTATCTTGGAGTTTTGCCTGTCTACTTCAAGGCCAGCTGGACATTGGATGGCCTTGAACATCAAGTCCTGTAAAACTGACAGAAGGGATTCATACATGAGTTGAACTTGTGTACCCAGAGACCATCTGACCCACTCAACACAAAGTAGAAGTTCGAGCCAGGGACTTGGGACTCAGGACAGTGGGATCTGACATGGGGCTTTTTTGTGTGCTGCATCTTATAGTATGATTTTTTTTTTTAATGAGAACAGAAATTTTAAGGAAACAATGTAGAATGCTTTGGGTAGTTAGAAAGGTCCTGTTCAGCTAGCTAGAAAAGCAAACTTGTTAGCACAGGCTCCCTGTAATGGCTCCATGAGAAGCAGACACCTCAAGGGAACCTCCCAGAGCGCAGACTGGAGTCCTGAGCACATGCTGATCTTCTTACCAGCCCTGACAACAGGTCTCCTCTCATCCCTTCCCCAAGCAACATTGACAACTTCTTTTCAGACAGGTTAAAACCCAGCAGTTTCTCTCCTCTAGATGACCTGGGGAAGGATCATCACACTTGACAAGCCTGAAGGTGCAGGCTGCAGGTCACCATTCCCAGCCACCAATAGACCAGGGTTATCATAGCAAGGGAGGCACGAGCGGAGGAAGGAATGAGAGGGGCCGGGGCTTTTGTGCAAGATTTAATAAAAAACCAAAATAGGATTGGTTGCTTTCAACATTTTCCAGGTTGTGAAAGATTTGCCAGGATTATCTGGGATATGGTTATAAGCTGCATCAGTGGGCCAAATACAAAATGCTGTCCTCTCAGGTCGAAAGGAAATGGGGGGCAGGCTGGACACTATCCAAGGCCCCTCCACAACCAGGCCAGACTAGAACATTCAGCGGTTCTGCTCTAACCAGCAGGGGTGGTGCTCAGCTGTGTGCGGTAGAACAGAGCCAATGGCAGGTCCCCACATGTATAATCTGAGGCAGGGCTAGCTTATTAACAGGCTGCTGTGCCTTAATACTGACAGTGAGTGTGGTGGGAGGACAAAGGGGTCCTGCTCAGATGTCAGTGGGGAAGCCCTCCCCACTGCTGCTTGAGTGTGACTAATCCGAGAATACCATGGGAAAAGCTGTGATACAGACAATGAGAAGTTGGAATCAACAGGGAAGGGATGGAGCAAACACCCCACACAGCAGTCTCTCATGCATCCATACCCACAGTTAATGATGGCAACAGTGAAAAGCACAGATGCAGATGAAAGCCACACTTGGCTTGTGCTGCCACCAGCTGGGAAGGATGTGTCAGGTGGGACAGGATGCAGTTAGTCTTTCTTCAAGTCCCTGGATTCAAAGAGCTTCAAGCGCTCCTGCACCGTCAGGCCTTCCTTCAGACTCTGGTGGAGACAGCAGGAAGAAGAAGCAATTAGGTGCTGGTGAAACAGAGGAAGTTGGGCTTCAGGAGTAGATGCAGGTGCGAGGCTGAGGGATCCTGAGATTAGTGGGCATGCGAGGGCAGAAGGCCCTGAGAAGTAGTGTTACTGGAGTTTGCTTTCTCCTGTGGAAATTTACTTGGGTGAGATAAGGGAAAAATAAAGAGAAACAAGATCATGTGTCTACATAGTTCAACTCTGACCTTAGGGCTGGGTCTTCAGATTGACCAAACCATGGAAAACTTGGGCTGAGAACTGGAAACCTGGCCACCTGTCACTTTCCTGCATAGGGAGTATGCATGTCTTATTCCTTTGACTTCATGAACTCATGGCCTTAAGACAGGTGCTCTCTTCTGGGACATCCTAGTGGCACCCTATCTCTACAGCTCTGCCCCAGGCATCCCTGATGAGGCCACTAGATTTACAGATATGGCTATCAACATTCTACACTCATCCGCCCCCCCCATGGGGCCACCAGATATAGCTATTAATAATACCCCTCCCCCACAGACTTTCCTGTGTTCTTGGTATTATTTCTTAAGGTAAAGGACATTTGCTAGCTGAGGACCAGAATATTTACTACTTTTTTCTTTAAACATCTTTCCCAAAGCTTTCATTTCTGTGAGAGAAAAGAAACCCCAGTTCTTAGAGAACTCGCAATGAACTATTTCAGCATGCCCAGGTCTGGCTCTGGTTCCTCAGTACCAACTCTTCTGGCAATCAACCTTGGTGTCAGACTCAGTCTGGCCACGATTGCATGTTGTAGTAGGAAATGGGAAGCCAGGGCTGTTTCTGGAGGTTGAGGCCCACCTTTAAGCAAGGAATGAAGGAGAATCTGGGCTATGTTTTGTGTGCCTTACCATCTTGCCCATAATAACTGAGTTTTTTGTTTGTTTTAGATAGGTTCTCATATAGCTGAGGCTGTCTTTTAATGAGTATTGTTTCTTATACTAACAAGTTATATGTATGTGAATATATATATGAATTCCTGCTTCAGGATATCCTTCAAGTCGCTCCTCCTCTTGAGTTCAGGTGGTTCCATGGCAGCCAGACTCCCAAGAGAAATTACATAGGTCTTTTGGCTTACCACCCGGCAACTGGAGCAGGTCCTGGATAGCCACAGTGGCCCTAGATGGCAACTAAACTCCACAGCAGGTGTAAGCCCAGTCACAGCACTTATTATCATTCTTAGAGCAGAGAGCAGGCAAGACCCATTGTCCCTTACACCTGGGCAGTGCCAGCTCTCTGAAGTCTCTGGCCTCAAGTTCGGCCTTCAGGACTCAGCATCCCACACCCAGCCCATGACAACACTGAGGAAAATCCTTTCTGTTCTGGATCTCAGAAGAGGTCATGTTGTGCTATGAAAGCTGACTGAGGTAGAAAATGAAAACAGCACCTGAGGGAGATCCCAGTCTCTCTTAACAGGGCTGGTGGAACTCCAGGTACACTAAGACCATATGGGCATGCTGCCACCACACATGGCTTGCTTCCACTTGCCCAGTGGGGATGTGCTATTCTGAGGTCGGATATAAAGTACAGCAATGGAGCTATGTCACTATGCAAATACTAACAAATCATGTGAGAAGCAGTTCCTTGGTCTCCTCTGACCTCCTAGCTTTTCCCACCTACCATGGCTCTAGTGACTCAGCACAGAGGAGCCCTAGCATTGTGTAACTCTAGTGTCCCTGCCAAGCACAGACGCCCCAATAGCTCTCTCTCTATGGCTGTCTTTGTTATAGAGATCTAGCTAGAATGGAGATTCCTTGTTCCCTAGCATCACCACCAGTCAGTTACTGAGCCCTGTGTCTGTGTAAAATTATATGTAGGTGGTATACCCCACTGCATATTTTCCACATGGTGTCCTTCCTGGATATCCTTTTTATTCTGACCCATAGGCCTCACTTATTCACAGTGACCACTATGCTCTCTGAGGGCTCAAGGACAAGAGCTGAGTTTAACCCCAGGCTGGAGAAAATAGTCTCTAATACAAAAAGAATGAGCCTAGAAAGGCTTTCTCTCTCACCAAAGAAATTAAAAAAAAAAAAAGTTTTATGAAAAACTCTAAAGTAAGTTTTTAATCTTGCTTAAACCACATCTGCATGTAGGTTAACTTGAGACTAGAGAAAACAAAGCCAGACTGGTTCAAAGAACCAATTACATAGGATGGTGGTAGCGCACGCGTTTAATCCCAGCATTGGGAAGGCAGAGGCAGACCTCTGTGAGTTGTTGAGGCCAGCCTGGTCTGCAGAGTGACTTCAGGATGGCCAGGGCTACAGAGAAACCCTGCTTTACTCCTACCCCTCCCCCAAAAAAGAGCCAATGTTCAAACTCTTGGGCTTTTTCAATATTCTTCCCTAAGGCAAACCTGTCTCCTCTGAACCTTGAGCTAATGGCCCTTGCTGGAAGGTGGGAGGGCTCATGAACCAGTACACCTGGGTACTACCAGTGGAAACAGCTAGCCAGACTCCTTGAGCTGTTAATATTGCATAAAAAAGTCAACACAGCATCCCTAGAATTGACCTCAACGTGGCCAACCCTACTACCTTCTATTGGGAGAGACAGGCTTTTGTGTTATGTAGAGACAAAAACAACAAAAACCAGGTTACATTCAGCCCCATGTGTAAGGGTGCCAGGCCTTTAGGAACAAAATACTTTCTCAGACTCTACCCATGCAGTATTGATCAGTTCCATGCAGAACAACACAATGGGGGTCTGCTCTATATGCAGGCATCTCCCCAAGCAACTTTGCTACTAACTGGATGGGTGAGGTCTTCTACAGAGCAAATTCCTTGCCAGAGTCAGTGGGTATCTGCCATCTCCCTATAACTTATTTCCAAGAGAGGAGACATGAACTTGGTGCCGTGCAAATCACCAAGTATGCATGCTGGCTTGTGCCCTCCTGTCAAGCTGGGGAGGCCTTGGGTAGGCTCAGCTCTGTGAAGAGGTTAGAGTACCAATTTCCAGGACAGTTACTGAGATCTCACATGGACTATGTGTGTGTGTGTGTGTGTGTGTGTGTGTGTGTCTGTGTGTTGAAGAAGGATGAATGAAGATTATTACACAGAGGTGTGCTATGGAGGTGTGAGCAGTGCATGCAGAGCCGCCTGGGCGGGTAGTGGGCAGAGTGAGAAGTGGTTTACCTACACGACAGGGGACTTGGAAGCGGGCGCGACTCAGTTATCCCATGAGACCTGCTCAATTACGGACTGTCAGAGGAAAGAGCAAAAATAAGACACACACACAATCAGTTCTAAATGCAGCATGCTGGCCAGGCCCTCTCCGCCCATCCTCCCAGAGACATGCCCATCTGAGAGCACACTGGGGATCACTGACTTCATCTTTCCAAGGCTGGTAGTGTCAGTGTGATAACAGGGATGTGCAGAGAACAGACATACAGTGGAGCTAATGAGAGGTCAGATTACCCCACAGAAGGTGAGGATTAAGTCAGAATCCCTCCATGTCTTGCTTCTTGAAGCCCTGGCACCTAGATGGTTTTGATGACATGGAACAGAGACACAGACATGGAACTTGAAGTCACTAGAATCATCCCAACAGGGTGACTACACAGGTAGGTTAGTGCCTGTACTGGCTTGACTTAATACCATCCTCAAGCCCCACCTCAACTATAAGCTGGACCTCACTCACCTTGGACCTGATGTTCCTGAGTTGCCGGGTAACACAGGATCTGTCTTTTTTCAGGAAGTCAGGATTGCTTTTAGATTTCATTATGTCTGAAGGAACAAAAAGGCTCATTACTTCTGTTTTCTACAATCTTCTGAAACCAAACAAAATGTGTGGGAGGTTCCATGTCCACTACTACAGTGCGTCAAGTAAATAACCAACCCAGCAACTGCTGGAGCACTGGGTCCCCACCAGGGTGTACATCACAACTCCTCAGTCATAGCACTGTCAATAGAGGATAGGAGGATCTCTTACTTCTGATTTGGACCTTGACTACTAGACAGACCAACTGGCCTTATTATTTCTAGCTTACTCCTGGCATAGGACTGGTATCAAAGAAAATCAGACCAAATTCGTCTCATGACTCACCCCACCAAGAACACAGTCCTTTCAGTGTCTTAAATACAGAAGACAAAAATGCATACTGGGTCACACCATAGTATGTCATGGGTATGGGGCTTCCACGCTTATGCAGAAAGATGTCACAATTTCTCTTTACACCAACACGAAAACATCTCCCTGTCTTCCTGAGAACTACACACTGTCACTGTGCAGCTTCTAATAAACCCAGCTGTCCATGGATGACACTTAGCACTCTGTGCACTGTGTGGTGGACTGCTGCTTGTGGCTCCTGTCTGCAGATGTAGTACCCTATGCACACTTTTCAGAGGTTAGTTAGCATGGCAGGTCTAAAGCTTCCTCCTTCTAATGCCTTGACTTTTTGGTTTCCTACCCAGGTGACTATGGTAATTACCTTTTACAGTTAGTTAGATTTTAAATTGTGCTGTTGTTGCCAGTTGTCTTCCAGAAAAGTGAATGTTTGTATCCCGCAAACAATGTAGAGGACTTGTCTGCAGGCACGTGTGAGGGCTGTCATGGTTACTGTTCCTGAACTTGCTATTGAAGGAAAGCTGAGCTACAGGATATTATGGGACTTGAACAGATTTTCAGTTTGTGGGCTTTTATAAAGAAAGGGTAACCACGAAGGTAAGATGAAATCATGAATTATGAGAAAGTGTCCAAAAGAATGTGGTTCTGCAGGTTCTTTTCCGTCTGTCCTGCACATTTTCAGCCAGCACAGAAAGAGGCCAGTTCCACTGTTCTTGAGAGGGTAGTAGGTTATCCCTCTGTTCTGCTTGCCTGTGGCCCTCAAAGACTGTATGGTAAAACATTTGAGTTGAGGAACTAGCATGAACATCCCCTCCCTGCTGGAGTTTCTCAGAGACAGACTGTAAGACCCCTTGTTACTATGGAAGAAGCTCTGTAAAGCAGCTACAGGACATGGGAGGAGAGGGTCAATCTGTGCATGTGGGGTCCCTCAAGGTGATATGGGATGTCACAGGACATTAGAATTTTTGGGGTTTGACTCAAGTGTCAAAAAATCTTTACGAGTAGCACCCAGATTGCTCACCGTATCCTGATACAGTAGTGCCTTCAGGAGATTTCTCGCCCAGGGCCTCTGTGGCTGCTTTCAGCTGCTCTTTCAACCTGCTGATATCACAGTCAGCTTTGGCCTTTGCAATGCTAAGCTCTGTATAGATGTCTTTGTACTTGTCACTAGCATACTTCTTATCCTAGAGAATAAAAGGACAGAAATGAACAGCAGCTGGAGACAGGGGATCAGACTCATTCTGAACTTTAGCCTTGGGGCTGATGTGCTGGGAGAACTAATTGTGGCTTGAAAATGATCCTGTGTGTCCTCCCTCTCTCCAGAGACAAAGACTGGACACTGAAGAAAACATGTGGTGAACAGCGAGGGCAGGGCAAGCTGAGGCAGCCTGCTGTGGTCCTGACTGCCGAGTCACTTTCTTGTGGGTGTCAACCAGGAAAAGCCTCTGGTTTTCAGATTTTCTAAGTGATCTGATGATATCAAGGATTATATCGCTTCTTTCTAACTCCAGTCCAACTAGACCCACCTGAACGGTAGACCAAGCCTCACTTCACCTCCATGGCATTCTTCTGTGTCATTCCTCCTGTCCACAGGAACAACCACCACCTGACTAGGCCAGGGAGGCTTTCTTGTTCACTCCTAAGGTATATGCTTACATGCTGGTGTTTCAAGGGAACCTGACTTTGTGACCATGATCCTGTAGAGTGGCTTGCCGTGCCACCAGAGGGACCCGGCCAGGCTTCCCAACATTTACCCTACCCTGCCCTGCCTTCAAACATGTGGCCCTTACCCGCAAGGCTGTCTGGAGTTCATCCTTGAGGGAGCTGATCTCCTGCTTCAGGTATTGTATTTCTGACTCTTTGACCCGCAACAAGACCTATAAGGAGAGAGAAAATGAGGTCTGGCTCTCAGAAACAAGGGATTCTGTAGTCTATGCCTACAAAGGTTGGCTTGCAGACAGTTGCTTCACACACTGGGGAGGAGGAGAGAGCCCACCCTTGATGACACCCATCACAACACATGATTTAAATACCTCCCAAATGCCTCTACAGAAATGGGGAAGGGAAAATACTCTGCTAGGCTCCCTAGTCTTGAGAACCTGGGGTTGCAGGCATGGGGACTATCTTGAGTTCCCACTCTTGCTTGCTCCCTGCAGCAGGAGCTGCCAAGGTCTAGATATATTGTTCCTATAGGAAATTTTGCCAAGCCTACTTAGCTCCTCCTGCTTACCTGTCAGTATGGTGTAGTCTGAGTGATCTATAAAGGAAAATTTTAACCTAATGGGGGCCTTCTTGATGATGCCCTACACCAGTGGTTCTCAACCTTCCTAATGCTGTGACCCTTTAATACAGTTCCTCATGTTGTGGTGACCCCCCAACCATTACATTATTTCATTGCTACTCTATAACTGTAATTTTGCTGTTATGAATCATAATAAAAAATCTGATATGCAGGATATCTGATATGCGACCTCCAAATAATAATAAAAATATATGATATGCTGAGACCCACATGTTGAGAACCGCTGCCCTACACACATTAGAGTCTTTCCTTTCTCCCTCTCTCTTTCAACAGTGTTTTTTCTTTTCTCTTCTTTTCTTTTCTTTCCAGACTGCTCTGTAATCTTCTTGCTTCAGCCTCCCAAGTAGTACACTACTGCAGAATGAGCTGTTCTGACTTAAAATGAACATCCTGGGCTGTGAGAAATTAATTCATGATAATCTGAGAGAAACAACATTCTTGTAGCCTTGAAATGGGCCACTTTATGAAACCAGTTTGTGGGCAGGTAAAGGAAAGTCATCTGGAGGGCCCCTGCTCTTGCCTGTGGACCTGAGACTACCTGCATATCTGCTATGTCTGGATGACTTTGGGCCTTCCCACAGCTTTCACACATGCTAAGCCAGTGTTCTACTACTGAATTCTAACCTTCTGGCCCTATCTTCAAATCTGGTCTCCAATGACTCTAAACTAAGGAACTACTGTGTGATTCAGGAGCACTGGGCAAGGCAGTGCCTAGCTTCTCACAGTACCTCTAACTCATAGGCATCCTTCCCCTGTGTGAGTGGCAACACAGTGGACTCGCCGCCACCATCTCCAGTCAGTAGTGTCCTCAACCGTGTGATTTCTGCAGCCAAGCGATTATTTAGTTCCTGGAGAGACACAACAACACAACAGTGACCGCCCACACACAGTTGCTTGGACACCAGAGAAAGTCATTTTTCACTAGTAGTGTGTAGAGACCTAAGAATGGAGGCCACAAGCCTTGTGCATGCACAGCACCATGTTTAAGGTAGACATTTGAGGCTGTTACCACATAAAAGCTGTTCATATGGGCTATGTGAGGCTATGTGAAAACTTAGGTTCCAGGACCCCTATTAAGCACCAAATTCTGTGGATGCTCAAGGGCCCAAAAATATCTGCATACACCCTCCCATATAATTCAGTTATCTATAGATTACATCTCATACCCAATACCAAGTCTTTTCTTTTTTCTCAAGACAGTGTTTCTGTGTAGCCTTGGCGGTCCTGGAACTCATTCTGTAGACCAGGCTGCCCTCAAGCCCAGAGATCCACCTGCCTTTGCCGCCCAAGTGCTAGGATTAAAGGTGTGCACCACCAGCCCTCAGTCATGTAATTCTTAAGTATTCAGTTGTACTGTATTATTTAGGGAGTAGTGAAAATAAAAAAGTTAGTGTATGTCCAGTGCAAATGCTCCCCTCCCCCTGCCTGAAAATTTTCTATCTGTGGTCAGTCGAATCTACTGATTCACAACTCACAGCAGAGAGGCAATTGTGTCTTTAGAGTTAAGGTTCCAAGGATTTTAAAACACTGGAGTTAGAAGGTGGTGGCGAGGCAGGTCTGTGAGTCTGAGGCCAGCCTAGTCTGTTGAGTGAGTTTCAGGACAGCCAGAGCTGTTATACAAAGAAACCTTGTCTTGAAAAACAATAAACAAAAAAACCAATAACAAAAAGAAAACAAAAAAACAAAAAAAAACCCCCCAAAACCCTAACCTTCTGGTGTGGGCAGTGTTATCTTGTCCCATTAGACCTCCTAAAGGCTATTCTGCTCTGTCCCTCCATTTTCTCAGGCCTCCTCCCTGGCTGCAAAGTGCTTTTCTTCAAGCCACTGCAGCGGTTCAGTGATTCCCAAGTAGTTCTACCTACAGTCTGGAATGGCTTGAAGAGAAGGCAAGCATGATACAGCTTGAGGCAGGCAAAATAGGGTGGTCAGAAGAGATTATTCTGAGCTCAGTATCACAACCCAGTCATTTGGGCCAGCAGGGATTCTAGTGAACCCCAATTTCCTGAGAAACACTGAATTCTGAGAGTGTGACTTATAGAAATAAAGATGAGAGGGTAAATCCAGCCACTAGAGGACAGAAGACTCCAACCCTGAGATGAACCTGACCAGAGACTTGTAAGTCTCTGCAAAGGCAAATATGGTGGTACCTTAGCTAGGTAATCTCTATGAAGGTGAGGCTTAGCCTCTCTTGGCCTTACCTGGTTATGGGCATTGAGTTCCTGGTTCTCACGCTGGCATTGCCGCAGGGCCTGCCGCTCGGCCTCCAGCGCCTGGGCCAGGTGTGCATTCTCCAGGCACTTCTGGGAGTACTGCTCCGAAAGAACCTCCAGCTCCCTCTGCACTGACTGCAGCTCCTCCCTGCAGAGAGGGAATGCTCAGCCCTGCCCCACTATAGAACTGGCAGCTGGGTATTGACAGTACAATGTCTCCTCACAGAATGTCAGGAATACTTTGCAGAAATGACTCTGTCTTTCCTGAGCCATTTACAGCTGGCATGATGGAACTGGGAGGCAGAGCCAGTCAGTCACTGTGATCTCAGAGGTGGAAAGCATCCACTTGGGTGCTGTATCATGTCATAGTACAGACATTCAGCACCAGGAAACTGCCCTGGAGGTACTATTTTTAGCATCCCATGTCCAGAAGGGCCAAATCCCCAAGAGAACCAGGAAGGAACTTCCAGATAAGCCTCTAGTCCAGCAAGCATGACCACTGGATTTCCTGAGCTGTTGCTTTAGACCCTGGCATATTCCAGAGACCTCAGCAAAGTCTAATCAATGAATACCTCCTGTAACTAACCCTAGCAGTGTGACTCCTACTGAGGGAAAATTCACAAGTTGCTGTTTCAGTGCTGTACTTGGTGCTGCTTCCTGTGCAGCCAGTATGTGTGAAATTTCCAGAACATGAACTATGGTCACTTTTGCCACAGTTGTGGTATACCAGGCACAAAGCACCAGCCAGACCCTGGCTCTTTGTAAGGTACTGATATAGTAGCAGTGGTACAAACAAACAGGGGATGGTGTCTGCAGTGAGCCCTAACACACAGAAGGCATTTGTTTTATTTTAGAACAGGATCTCCATATACAGCCCAGACTGGCTTCGGATTTGTGGCACTCTTCCATCCTTAAAGTCTCCTAAGTGCTGGGATCACAAATGCATGTCACCATGCCTAGCTTAAGTGATGGTTTTTAAATATCATTTGTTACATTTGTTTCTCTGTATTGTAGAGATCAGTCTTAATTAACCCTTTGGTGTTTGCACCTGAAGAGCAAGGTAGTGTGGTAGGTTTCAGACCTATGATCTCCTCACTTCCCTAAGACCAACTTCAAAGCTGTCTTAGGCTTGGGAAAGTAGCCCTCTCCCATGGGGCTCTCCTAGGGCTAGGTGACTCACAGGTACTGCCGCCTCAGGGCTTCAATGTCCGAATTGATGCTGCTGATCTGAGACCGCTGACTCTTCTCTAACTCCCGTTCCATCTCCTCCCGGTGAGCATTCTTCATGGCTTCAATGGCTGCAGGAAAGACAAAGCCCCTCAGCACCAAAATCTCGCACTACAACTGGCAGTGGCTCTTTCTACTACATTATCCCTCCACAAGGCCACAGGCAGGTTGGATGATGCCTGCTTCCTGCTGGCACCAACTACTCAATGGCAGTAGGACTCCACAGGAGGCTGGTCTATCACAGACAGACTCTCTGGGATAAACAAAGGCTGAGAGAATTCACAAACTAATTCCCTTGAAAGGGCTATAGATGTGTTTATGTGATATTAGAAAAACTCCACAATGATCAAATAAATGTCAATGTTGTACTCTTGAATGGGTTTTTAAAACAAGAGTGTGTGAGAGCTGGTTACTTACTTTCCTGATGCTAAAATAAGCCACATACCGTCATTAACCATGTAAAGAGGGGCCGGGCAGTGGTGGCGAATGCCTTTAATCCCAGCACTTGGGAGGCAGAGGCAGGAAGGATCTCTGTGAGTTCAAGGCCAGCTTGGTCTACAGAGCTAGTTCCAGGACAGCTATGGCTGTTACACAGAGAAGCCCAGTCTCAAAAAAAAAAAAAAAAAAAAAATTCGTGTAAAGAGAAAGCAACAAATGCAACATGAGATAGGTGAGACACACTTGCTGGGGCTGTGTTACATATATTCATGCTCCTATGAAGAGTACTCCAAGTGATGGATGCTTGTTGGGGGCCTACAGTATCACAAACAGGTGGGGTGCTGGTTCTCAGTTTGGAGGCTCTCAAAAGGCTTCTCAAGTTAGTCCTTGCCTCACTTTGAATCTTCTAATACCTCTCTCCAAAATGAAGCTTAAGGCTAGGGCTGGTACTGATTTGGTCTAGCACCTGCTGGACACGTGCAAGGCCATGTTCAATTTCCAGCAACACAGAAACAGGGTGGGGTAGTTCATGTCCCTTACTACAGCACTGGGTAGGTGGAGGAAGGAGAATGAGTTCAAGGTTATTCTCACTTACATAGGGAGTTAAAGGGTGGCCTAGAATAGAGACCCTGCCCACCCATACCCACCACCATCTACAAAGAGGAAACTTCTATCTCAGGAAAAAACAAGGGAAGGCCAATTCTCTTCTGAACTACAGGTTTGGCCTAAACACGGGACCCCTGTGCTCCTGGACTTAACCCTACCTGAGATGGTGGCAGCTGTCTCCTCAGCCAGGAGGCGGTCCTTTTCCTCCCGCAGCTTCTCCAGCTCCCGCTGGTGTTGCCTCTGTAGGTCTTCAATCTTCTTCTGGTGTGTCTCTTCCATGGCAGCAAAGCCTCGCTCACATGTAGCCTGTGGAATGGAAGAGGGCTTATTGTTTCTCTTTGCCTCCAAGTGGCTGTCCCGTGTAATAAATAAGGCAGCGACCTGCTTGATCCAAGAAGTAATATGGTCTCAAGATATGGCTGGAGCTTCCAGCATCAGGTACCAAGTCTATATGTAGCTATACACCCTTTTTTTTCTGGGACTGCGTGGCATTACAACCAAATGGCACATGCACTGCCTATATTGGCTGGAGTAGCAGACATACTGGATCGTCAACAGGGACAAATTCTGACAAACATGCTAGTTGGAGAGAGTGAGGTCCATCCTGAAACAAAGGGTAGAGAGACTGGAGAGCGCAACCCAGCTGCTGTGGGCTGGGATAGACAGGATCTATTTTTGGGAACTTCAGCTCAAGGGTATCCACCCAGGAGCCGGAGTAGATGCCAACATCTTTCCTGCCAGCCTATGCTTTCTCCTTTCCTCTCTTTTAAAGGACAACAGAGGCATGCTACCCACTGAGAACCGTACCACCTTACCAAACAGAACAGACACAACATGTAAGTCCTAAGGAGAGTTCCCATTCTCCACAGCCATGGAGCCCAGCTGCTCTCTCCAACCAAGCAGTAATGCATGCCCTGTGTTCCACCTGCAGCTTACAGCTACTTTGAATGTGGGTCATTCTGTCTAAACTTGTGATAGCCACCTCTGAGAAGAACTGGCTTTCTAATAAAACAAAACAAAGAAACAAGCTGATAGAATGTGGCTCTAACTCTGTGCTCCTATCTCATAGTTTTGCTAATGGATTTAAGAAAAGATACCAAGTATCCAACCTCCATGCTTTGACATTTCTTACTGATTCACACAATCACTGTGGGGCTTCTATTCAGCAACTTTAAACTCCTGCTCACATCCTAGAGCTGACTGCAGAGGGTGCTGTACTAGTTACCTTCTCCACATAGCCTAGAGATAATCTTATACAGCCTGTTTACTCTGTCTGCAGTTTAACTAAGACACAGCACAGAATGTTCACTGAAGAGTATTCCGCTTGTGGCAGTCAGTGCTCAGAATATTTTGGATTTTGGTTCATTTCAGATTTTGAGTTCCATGTAATGGATGCCAATCCTATAGAAAGTCTTTTCCATCTTATTTGGATTTGTGCATTTTGGAATACACAAAGAAGACAGGGTCCAAAATTTTTATAACAGAAACACTGTGGTGTCTTTAACAACCAGGTTGCTTCTTTGTTAACTGTATTATATTTGAAAATTGTTACTCTGTAAACCAATTTTAAAAATTTGAGTGTGTATGTGTGCATGGAAGCCACCATTGAGGCTTAACATCGAGTGTCTTTCCTTGATCACTTCGATCTTACATAGAACCTCTCATCTGAACACAGAATTTGTTGATTCAGCTAGCTGGCCTAGCTAGTTTTCTATGGGAAGCCATTGCCTCTATCTGCTATGTGCTAGAATTACAAGGGGGCCACACCATATCATGCTTACCCAGGATTTACATAAGTGCTGGGGGTGTAAACTGGTGTTCTCGTGCTTGCTGGCAAGTACTTTAAACACTGAGCCATTTCCCCAGCTCCAAATTTTAATTTTTAAACCATCCTTAGAATCCAAAGTTCCTTACTAAGATGCAGACTCATGGCTAGTGGTGGTGTGGCAGCAGCAACAGTCCAGGCTCCCTTCTCTGGACAGAGATCCACAGAGAGAGAAACTGTTCCCAGCTGGCTATCAGTCTGGTCAAACACACTGCATGTGTCCAGCTGTGCCACAAGTCCTACAGAGGGCTTGAAGTTCTTGGGCACATACATATGCTGAAGTCTGACGCTTACTCTCAACCTGTACCTTTTGTTTCTAAGGCATTTTCCCACTAGGTAACCTGAACCCAGCACAACCATTCCAACATCCTGCTAACTGACTGTGATGTTGCCAGGCCTGGACCCACCCTTCCCAGGCTGTGGAGGTGCCTGCAGATGCAAAAAGGAGCAGGCAGTGGTGGCCCAGGATCCTCACAGGATCACTGAATACACATTTTGAAAATTTCTCACAATACTTAATGTTTTTTTTTTTTTTTTTTTTTTTTTTCGAGACCAGGGTTTCTCTGTGTAGCTTGGAGCCTGTCCTGGAACTCGCATTGTAGACCAGAATGGCCTTGAACTCACAGAGATCTGCCTGCCTCTCCCTCCCTAGTGCTAGGATTAAAGGCATGAGCCACCACTACCTGGCGCCTTATGATTTTTAAAAGGTCTGGATGAAATCAGGAAAAGAATGGTGAGCAACAGTGCCTCAGGTGCCTCATCAACCTCTCCTGTGTATTTGGTCAGTAGCTATGTGGTCACCCAGAGGCAAAGGAAAAGCACCAGCCTGAATATACCATTGTTTCCCTTCAGTATGGAGGAAAAGGGTGTTGGGAAACAGTCCCAGACACCCTGCTGTGCTACAGTTGTGATATAGTGACCTGCAAAAAGACCTGATTCAGGGACGCTTGGGGCCTATATACCTTCTAATGGGGAAGAAAATGAGGACACAGCTACCAGGCCACCTCTGGAATCTAAGAAATGGTTAGAACCCTCCACAATTAGGCCCAGGCAGCCACACACAGTGTAATCTAAGATAAAAAAAAAAAAGTGATGTCCACAGAATGACAGGTAGCCGGTGAGGCAACAGTATGGGAAAGCCCTTCTCAGACACAGTGCCCATCTACTGCTAACTCTTCCTTGGGAAGTCTGGCTAGACAAGAATGCTTACTGCTTTGCAAATACTGCTGTGCTGTAAAGTCCTAACTCTGCTCTCTGGGAAGAGTAACATGGTGGCTGCCGTTCAGAGGTGTGAGACAGTCCTTGGACTAATGCCTCAACTTTGAAGCCAGAAGGGGTTCTGTGAGGGTAAGGTGAAGGGTGTGGAGAGTGCCCTGGAGGCATGTACAGGCAAGGAAGACCCTACTTTACTTTCCCACAGGGATGCTGCTTTCCTTGCTAGTTTCTCTTCTGGGTCATGAATAGAGAGGAGAATGTTACTCAGTTATGCCTGTATAGCAGTTGAGAGCTAAAACTATTTCCTATTCCACTAAGACCTCAGTTGCCCACAATGCCCCTTTCTTGTACAACCAAAGAGAATTGGCTCTGAAAAATAAATGGTGCTAAAGACCTTGAGGCTCTCAAAGTCCCGTTGGTACTTCTCCCGCAAGGTGGCCACATCACCCTCCAGCTCTTTATGGCCCAGCTCCTCTCGCATGACATCCATTTGGGCCTCCAACTCCTGGATACGTTCTCGTAGTCCTGTCATGGATTCAGCCTCATCCTTGGCTGTTGGCACAGTTCTGGGTTCAGATGGCCTGGGAGCCAGTGGGGAATCTGGGTGTGAGGGTTGGCAGAGGCTGAGGGCTCCCCGCAGGTTCCATATGTAGTGTTCCTGCAAGGCCCTCAGCTCTTCCTGATGGACAGCCTGTAGCTCCCGGACCTTCAGCTGGAACCTGTCCTCCAGCATCTTCATTTGCTGCACATGTTGCTGTTCCATGGCCTGCCTGTCTTTGACTGAAGCGTCTAGCTGGCTGAGAACCCGGCTACGCTCAGCCTGCAGTGTATTCTCAGTGTGGCTCAGTTGCTCTACCATGCACCTGATCTCCTCCTCATACCTGCCCTGCAGGGCAAACATGCTTTCACTGTGTTTGCTTTCTGCTTCTTGTAGACATCTCTGTTGATGATCCATCTGGCTCACCTTGGCCTTGAGCTCAGTGTTTTCCTTTTCAATGAGGGTGATCACCTTCTGGTACTCACTCTTCTGTTTCTGGAGAAGTTCTTCATATTCCTCCTTCAGGGCTCCAACTGCTTGTGCACGCTTCTGGCAAGAGGCCCCTGTGGCCTCCTGACAGGCCTTCTTGTAAAACCGCAGCTCCTTTTCATACTCCAGCCGTATTCTGCATGCTGCATAGCACACCTGAGCCTGAATAATTGCATCTTGAACCAGTAATGAAGAATACTGACCAAGGCCCTCTAGACAAGCATCATATGAGAGATGCTGTGACATTTGCAGAAGCCTCTGGCAACCCCCAAGTTGCTCTGTGGGAGGCAGGGCTGGTAAGGCAGCTGAAATCTCCTCAAGGATGCTAGCCTTTTCCCTCAGCTGCTGGGCCAGCTCATCCTGAATGGCAGCAAGGACTTCAGGGCTCTGATGGAAAGCCTGCAAAGGCTCTTGGGAGTCATCTGTGCCTGGCCTCAGTACCTCTCCTAATGGGCTCTGGTCCCAGGATGTTTGTACTTGGTCCTCCCTGCCAGTTGGATGCCTGAGGGTTTCTAAGATCTGCTGTATTACTCTTTCAAAGTCTGGGGTTTGGTAGGCTCCCAAGATTTCTCCCAGCATGCACTTGTGCTGCTGTAGGGCTGCCTGGGTCCCCTGAAGGGTCTCCTGTATGCTCTGTAGCCTATGGTGGAACAATTCTCTTAATGATTGTGTGGCATAGCTGAGCTCTGCACGAATCCATGTGGCATCAGCCAGACTTTGGGGAATATGCTGCTGCCTGTCTCCTGACGTGCAGGCTGCTTCTTCTCCCAGTGTCCCTAGGTGCTTACTTAGGGACTCGACCTGGTTCCAGAACTCACCATTCACCAGTACCTTCTTGGCCCAAATCTCCATTGGAGCCCCAGCAGAGAGGGCAGTACTTTCTTCCTTCAGAGGCCACTCCCCTGACTGAGTAAGCTCACGGAGAACACCATACACATCTGAAGTGGTATTCTTTAGAGAGTCAGCAATTTGGTTGATAAGTGAGGCCTCCAGAACTATCTGAGCAGAAAGTAGCTTCCTATGTTCCTGCTCATTCAATATGGGCTGGTAGGGCTGCTGCACATGGGTTGTCAGACCACTTTCCATGGGATGCCTTGTCTCTTGCTCAGTCTGCGTCCTGCTCTCTGATGGGGATTCCCAAGGCTGAAGGGCCTTTATAGCACTCACAAGCATACTCTCTATGTTAGCCAGGGAGGCTGCACATGCATCCTGTCCCTCCTCCTGGTCAGCAAATGGCAGAGACCTTAGCTTTTTCCAGCAGTTTTCTAAGCATGTCAGGGCTTGGCTATTTTTGGCTTGGAAGTCTTCCAGCTCCCCAGAGTGGTGTTCAATGTTTGTTGCCTTCTCCTGTCTCTCTTTCTCTAGCTGAGAGGCCAGTGCACTAGCCTGTAGTAGGCTGGCACGGAGTTGTTCCCTCAACTGTGCCTCAGTGCCAGCCCACTGCTGGTGCAATGCAAGCAATGCCTCCTGACTCTGGCCCTGCTGGCTCTCCAGCCTCACGGTCACGTCTTTGAGCTTTTCCTCTGTGACATAGAGCTTTGTCTCCAGGGAGTGGATTATAGAGATATATGTTTCAGCATCTGCAGCTGCAGGGAGTGTGCTAGGGGTAGCTTCTGAGGACACACTGTCCTCTGAGGGTGACTGGTCCTGGCTGGTGTCTGATGATGTGCTGCTAGTCCAGGCCTTTGCACAACCCTCAGGGTGTATGTATCTTTGGCACTGGATTGTGGAGAACCGGATCCTTGGCCTTTTTACAGGTGCTCCCTGGTCAGACTTAGAGCTGCTTTGCAGATGCCCATCCCTGTCAGGCACATCTGCAGACTTTGGGGGTACCATGTTCTCCTCTCTGCTGGGGCTACCACTGTTACATTCCTCCCCTAGGCCAGCACCTGGGTCTTCATCCTCTGGCTGTGAGTGGGGAAAGCCTGGAAATACTCTGGTGACTGAGCCTAGGGGCAAAATGCCACGGTCCTCCTCCGTTTGCTCTGCCGTACTCTGAGGCTCTTTGGCATCCTTTGGAGAATCACTTACAAATCTCCTTAGACACTCTTCCTTTTCCTGCAGCTTAATTTCTGTTTCCTCTAAGCTGCTGCCCAAGGCAATCATTTTAACCAAAGCCTCATTAAGGTCTTGGTCTTTCTTTTCTAGAACTCTCTCATGTGCTTCCTTAATGTGCTTCAGTTCTTCTTCCTTTTCTCTCAGCAGAGTGCGTACACTCTGTAGCTGGATAGAGACCTTGTGGTGTGAGTGCTCTAGGTTCTGGTAGTCAGCTTCTCTTCCCCTCAGCTTCTCTTGGAGCTCAGCCACGTCCCCATCAGATGTGGCCACACGTTCCATGAGCTCTTGGAATTGCTGCTTGATGAGATCCCGTTCATCATGGAGGCTCTGTACGTGCTGGGCTAACTGGCGGATGCTAGCCTCCCGGGCTTCCAGCTCTTCCTCTAGCTGGTGTACCTGCTCACTGCCTTTGCTTGTTTCACTCAGTTTTTCTTTTTGAAGGGCCTCCACCTGCTGCACATGGCTTTGTAGCTGGTCCTCATAGGCATTAGCCTTGTCCTCTACCTCTTTGAGGTTCTGCAAAAGTGCCTGCTTCTCCTGTTCACAGCTCTCCAGTAACAATGTGTAGTTCCTCTTCAACTTCTTCTCCATCAAATGCTGGGCCTGCTCACTGGTACCTAGCTGCTGGCTGAGCTCAGCAATGCATTCCTGCAGTCTCTGCACCTCCTTCTGTCGGTCCTTTTGCAATGCCTGCTGTGTTTCTAGGTCCCTCAGTTCCTGTGTCTTCTCTAGCAGTAGGGCTTCTGTACTTTTGAGTTTCTGCTCACTGGCCCTCAACTGGCCACTCAGCATGGCCTTGCTGTGCTGCCATTCCTCTAGTTGCTCACGAACTTTGCCCTGCTCCAGCTTCAGCTCACCCTTGAGCTTGGCTAGAGCCTGCTCCTTAAGGGCCAGTTCTGCAGCTGCACTACCAAGTCTTGCTTGCAGGGTTTGAATCTCAGCCTCATGGTGCCGGATTGCATCCTTGGCCTCCCCATAGCTATGTTTCAGCGTCTGAATCTGCTGGGTGATGAGCTCTTGTCGCCGGCACTGAGCTTCCAGCTCACTTTGGAGGTCTTGGTTGACTCTATGGAGCCTCTGCCAGGCACCCGATGGGGAAGTGGCCACTTCAGTCTTAAAAAAACCGATTAAATACTGGTTAGTAACACTCAGGCCACCCTGTTCTGAGTGTCACACCTCTGGCCAGGATCAATCATAGAAAAGCTCCTTGGTGGGTTTGGCTTTAATCCTTTGAACAACTTTTTTTTTTCTTCGTTTAAAGAAAAAAAAATCAAATTAATGTGGGTTTTATTTAATTGTTTTTGGCAAATATAGCTGCTTCCACATAAACAGAACACATGGGAAAAACATCAAAAAACAGCTCTATCTAATTGAACAGCATCTAGAAGAAATAAACCAAATAAAGCTGAATAATGAAACACACTGAGAAGTATAACGGAGACCGAAGGACAAAAGGACACCGCATTTGTTTTGCAAAACAAAGTATGTGGTTCTAGACCACATATTTAAAGCAGTACAGGGTATAAGGCACAAGAAAGTGATGTCACTTCCTTCCATGATAGGAAGAGAAGGAAGGCAGGTAACTACTTGAGAGATGTCAGCAAGGTAACATTGGAACATTTCCTTTTTAGAAAGCGTAGTCAGGCCTCCACCGTAAGGAGAAAACTAATCTCTACCTGCAAGAAGACAGAACAAGGGGAATGCAGATCATGAAGCAAAATGTGGTAACAAAACAAACCTTCATAAAGCTCAAAATAAGAGTGAAACATGCAAAACCCAAAATAAAACACAAAACTCCTCAAACTGAGAGACACACAGAAGAGACAGAACTAATATAAAACAGGGGAGACAACATGGGTAAGTCAGGAGAACCCCCACCTAGAATCTGGCCTGCCCAGGCTCCCTCAGTCTACTGGTGGGGAAGCCACAGATGTGACACTCAGGTTAAGTTCCAATTCCACACCATGTTCACCATCCAAAGCATGCAGGCCCCTCCCAGCAGTTAGCACAGCACCCTACCCGAGCTTGCATCTCTTAGCCCTCAGTGCCCCAAAAGGCCTCTTTCCCCTTCTCACTTTTGACTATAAGCATTTCCAAAACTCAGGGGTAATCATTATTAGATTCAGCGGGAAGCTGGCCCAGGTGCTAACCACAGGGCCTTCAATGTAGATGCACATACTAGTCCATGTTAGATACACAAGGTAGCAATGTGCAAAGCTTTTTGGCAGTGTCTTTACCACCATGTCTGAAGTCAAGTTTTATATGATGGACCCAACAAAGGCTTAAGAAAATGACCCTTAAATTAAGGATGGCCTGAATGAATAACCTCAAGCTTTCTGAGTAGGCTGTATAGAAGGGAGATGCCTGCTATGGCCAGTTTGGGGCAAGGTCAGAAGTAGGCTAGCAGTGAGTCTACTGGAAGGGAAGAGGGTGCGGTAATGTGGGGCAAGCAAGGGACACATGCAGCAGTGGGAGGGATAGGCATGAAGGTAAGGTAGGCTCTGGTTGAGGCGAAGAAAGGACTCCAGGTCCATTTATAACTTGGTGACGAAGACTGAGGAGATCAGTGCACAAGGGTCTGGGCATGTCAACAGTGAACTTGGCAGGGATTTTGGATCTTTGAGGGCTAAAGGTCTTTGGAGACACTAGTTCTAAATGACACAGGCAGGAGATTGCTGCTGTAGGAGTGGTGAATGCTTCTGGGATGAGTGGCAGAATCAAGACTAGAACCTAAAACCCTAACACCACTCTAAAACCAATGTCTTCTCCGGGAGCTTTAATTCAATTCTACCACACCATTCTACTATCCCTAGCACTTACTTGTTGATTCCTCCATCAGCACGACAGTACCCAGGGTGAGAGTATGTCTACTTCATGTCTCAGAGCTAGCATTTATCCTAGGAAGCCAGTTACAGGACAATACATGCCCATCTGTCCTCATACAAAGCTTCCCTGAGACTGTTTTTTGACATAACCATATCAAGGGTACTCTAGGGATCTGAATGCAGAAGGATTCTGGAAGACGCCTCAAAAGGAGAAGGACATTGGCTTTGGGCTGTCAACTCAGCACCTAGCTGCCATAACTTTTACCTCAATCCTGGTGGGGTTAGGATGGCTAGGTGGTCATATGTCCTCCTGAAACTCAGGCTGGTTACAAAGGAATAGGTAGGTGGGTGGTGGTGCAGGTCTAGCTCCACCACTAACTTGTTGTTGTCCTAAGAAGGCACTTGGCTTGCTGTCTTGCCCACCTTTTCAGAATATGTACAACAGGCCCAATCTCACTATGGTGAACACAATGAGAAATGAGACACAGATACATGGTTTTCGCAAAAGCACGTCTAGAAAGTCTAAAGGAGAGATTACCAAAATGATTTCATGACCAAAAGAAAATCCTTAGCTGTAGAGATTTGGTACACATCCCCTCCAAATCACTGTCCTAGTAGCAAGGAAAATGTACAGAATATCATAGCATTTAGGAACCTTTGTCCTTGTTGACCAGAGCTCTGCCATGTTTGCACATTCCTAGCCTGTGGGCCTGAGCAGACCTTTCACACTGAAGCCCCTGGGTGCACTGATGACTGGGCAGCTGCCCACCCTACCTGCAGCACATAGCCCTCCCGGGCACTCTGCTCTCGGCCCAGGGCCACCCTTAACTGGTCCTGCAAAAGCCGATTCTGCTCTAGAAGATCCGAGGCCTCTTTCTGGCTCTGCTCCAGCTGTTGGTGAAAATAAAAAAAAAAAAAATACATACACTTCACAAATAGGATGGCAATAAGGAAAAGCAACTGACCACAGTGGCCATACAATGGGCTCTTTCACTAGCCTCAGACATCTCACTGGACATGCATCATATGGAACTGAAGGGTCCAGCTCAAGCTGCATATCCAGTGAGATGCCTGAGGCCAGTTGAGAACTCAGTATGCGGCCTAGAGGCCAGAAGCCTTATTTTACCTTATTTTCCTGGTTTTTCGAGACAGGGTTTCTCTGTGTAGCTTTGGGGCCTGTCCTCGAACTAGCTCTTGAAGACCAGGTTGGCCTCGAACTCAGAGATTCGCCTGCCTATGCCTCCTAAGTGCTGGGATTAAAGGTGTGCTCCACCACTGCCTGGCCTAGATGGCTTATTTTGATAGCCTAGAACTATGCAAGTTTGAATTACTTCATTTTACCTATATTTTTACCTATATAATATTTACCTATATAATATTTTATTAGTGCATATAGAAAATGGAAAAGTCAGTGTTGGTGCTAGTGATCTATCAGGTTCCTACATTTAATAAAACAGAAAAAAACAAAAAAATTAAAGAGGCAAAGAGAGGCATGCTGAAGTGGCAGATCTTCAGTTGGCTATTATGGAAAAAGTGCAATATGCCTGACGCTTGCCGAGGAAGATGCCTCTAAGGGGGCAAAAATCAGACAGAACCCTATGTAAGCTGAGCATATATCTCAAATACCTCATGTGAGTATTCTGGTTGCTTGTTGTTTTGCCTTTGAAATGATTCTGGAGTAACTGTATTTACATAATAAGCAATTTGAGGGATGGAGCCCAATCTAAATACAAACTTCAATCCTGTTACATTTTTTCTTTATACACATGACTTCATTTATACATGTGATATGTACATTTTGTTTTGTTTTGGCAATGCCGGTATTGAAGCCAGGGTTTTGTGGATTATGGAAGTGCCATATCCCTAGTCTGCTATATAATATAGTATCTACTAATTTTATACAGAAACAAAATTTTATGGTAGGGAACTTTCTGCTTGTGTCACGCTGACACTAAGTCTTTTGGACTTTGGAGCATTTGTAACTTTTGGAATAAGGATACTCATATTGTAACTCTTTGGTCATGGAACGCACTAGTAAGGCATAAATGTACATGCAGATGTAATCTGGACACATTCTATAAGAATCATATACTATGAACACAGGGGCTAGCTTATATTGCTCTGTATCAAGATTGTTAGAATGCCTCCATCTAATACCTTCCCCACTCTGTCTCACCACAGCCCTAGGCTATATCCCTACTCTCCCATTGTACTGTACTGAATAATTCTGTGCATTTAAGAAGGGAGCTGCCTCACGTTACCTCTTTCTCTAGCAGAGAGGTGAGCTCATGTGTGGAGAGTCGTTCACTTCTGTCCTCCAAGGATAGGTGCAGAGGAGCAATAGGCACCTGTTTCTCCTCCCTGAGAGGGGTAGTCTCCACTTGGTGCCACCGCTGCTCAATTTCCACATGGACATTTTGTGTCTTGAGGTCAGGGGCTCCCAGCAGCCCTGGGCTCCGGTCTACGTCCATACGTAGGGCTGTATCTTCCATACCTGGCCCATCAGCGGTTTCCAGCATCCCAAAGCGCTTGCGGCGCTCTTCTCGCCTTCGGGCTCGTTCACGCTCCAGCTCACCTGGCTCGGCTTCAGGACGCCCAGGTTCACCAGCATCAGGGGACCCCACAGTGTTGGCCCTTTCTTGAGCCAGGGCCTGTTGAATGGGGCGGAATTCAGCCCAATCAAACGTCTTTGAGCGGCCCTCCCGCCTCCGCTCTCGAGCACGGCTCTTCTTTTGCTCAGGATCTGGCTCTCCTGGCTCAGCTTCTTGCTTCTCATTTGGTCTCGGGCAGGTCTCAAAAGAAGGTGTGCTTTTATTCTTTTCCTCAGGCAATGAGCTGTGAGATAATGAGGAAACAGGGAACCTATCAGGGAGTCTGGACATTTCAGCAGGTCATAGAGTCAGTACATACCTGTTCTCATCCTCAAAGTGGCTTCTAAGAGTAGAGGGAAGAATGCTCCACCTGTGCTTGGTTCTCCCTTGGAGATCTCAAACTTACTAGATGGGGAGGGGAAGGACTTTTAGTTGTTCCTTAGACTTCATTTCTCATCCTTTAAATGGAGTGTCATGGTGGTCATATCATGGATGATGGAGATAAAGTCAACGGACTCCTATAAGTCCCACAGAAGAGAAGGGTCCAGACACTTAGTGAGGTTGGTTATTATAAAGCAACCTTACACTATGTAGCAACAGAAATAGCTCTCTTCAGAAAGGCTCAGGGATTTCTATAAACAGGAGACACCATCATCTCTAACTAAAGATCTCACTCCGGCTCCAGGCATGAAAGACTGACACTGAGACTATCTGTGGTCAGACTATCAGTGACTCGGTTAGCCAGAAGCCCACACCACCAGGGAGAAGGTAGCATAGTACCCACCAATTTGAGGAAGGAGGTGACTAGGGACACAGTCATGCAGATCAAGTCTGCTAGTGCCTCAACCTACTCAATGATAACAGGGAAGGAGTTGGCTAGTTTGAAGATTATCTACCTTTTCCCAATCTTCCCCAAGGAAGATTTCTGGAAAGGCCTCCATTTCAGCAGGAGAGGATGTCAGGACATCACCTCTGGTAACATGGCAAGAGGCTGAGTGGACTTACTGAGAGTATAGGTTCCAGTGATTGCTAGATGGCCCAGGTCTTGTCCAAACCTTAACAGGACTGAAGTGAGCTGGTGATAGGAGGGCCCAAGGAGGAAGAGCAAGGGAGTACTTGCATTTATACTAGGACCAACAAGGAGATTGTCAAAGGGACATCAAACAAAAGAGAAAATGATTCTCATTACCCTTGGATCACATGTCTTGGAAGCAAACAGTAAGAATCTAAGTGCTTGGGCCAGTGAGATGGCTCAGTGGGTAGGGATACTTGTCACAAAGCCCAGTCCAGTTCTCCCTGGAACCCATGTGATAGAAGGAGAAAACTAACTCCTACGACGTATTTTCTAACCTCCATATGTGCTCAACAGAAAATGCATGTGTACACACAAAATAAATGTTGAAAACAAACAAGTAAAGTTATCCTCTGATGTCTACATGTGTGCAGTGACAAAACCCCACTTCCTTCCTTCCCTTCCTCCTTCACACAAACACACTAATAAATACAAGCATTTAAACAAACATCAAGTGCTTTAAGAACAGTAGGATCAGCAAGGGTTCAGTGTAAGATCAAACAAACATGCAAATAAAAATGTGCTAGAAGAGACTGGATTGATGGTACAGCGGTTAAGAGCACATGCTGCTCTTGCTGAGGACCTGGCTTGATTTCCAGCATTCACATGGCAACTCACAACAATCTATTTTTTAAAAATGAGGTGCATCATGCACACGCCTGTAACCCAGCACTTGGGAGGCTGAAGTAGGAGGAATGAGTGGGAGGCCAACCTGGGCTATACAGCAAGATCTTGGTGTAGGGAAAACCAAACCAAAGTCACCCCTAGCTGAGCTTTTCAAATCATGAGAAAATTGGTGAAGTCTCGGTCTATATGGGAAATTGAAATTGACACTTGGGAACAGGGACCCTCCCTCAACCCCAAAGTCTTATAGTACTATGAGATGTTCTCACTACAGGCAACATGACAGAAATGAGAAGAGAAGCAGGGCAAAGCTTGCAGCGCTGATACTGCTGTCCTTGCTTCTAAAACCTTCAGGAGGTCTTGTAGTTACAAATCATGTTTCATCATTATGAGTCAAACAGAACAACATAGGCTAAAAGCAAATGGGTGTGGAGGCTTGACACAGTAAACTGTAATACAGATTCTAGAAGACAATAGTATGGAAGAGAGAGAAGCACCAGGTTTCTACATTCATAACCTGGGCCTCAGTCCTTCCATGGAGCACAGCATAAACATGCATATATGAGCATTCTTGGCATCTGCCCTGGACACCCCAACATTGATTTCCTTCAGTCATGCCCCCCATCTGCCCGTTGCCTGTGTAGGGCAGCTCAAGTGCCCTTTACTCTTTGCTTCAGGACCTTGTACTGTAGACTCTTTTCTTGACTAGAGGAGCTATGGAGGTAGGGGGTGGGGCACTGCTCATTTGCCAACAGTTCTTTATAATTTTTTTTTTTTTTTGAGACAGGTTCTATGTGTGGCTGTCCTGGAACTCCCTTTGTAGACCAGGCTGGCCTCGAACTCACAGAGATATACCTGCCTCTGTCTTCTGAGTGCTGGGATTAAAGGTATGTGCCACCACTGCCTGGCAAAAATTTCTAATTTAATTTTCTTTTATGTGTATAGGTATTTTGCCTGCATGTACGTTCATGTATCATCTGCATGCACTGCCTGTGGAGGCCAGAAAAGGGTGCAGGATCTCCTGACACTGAGCCACCATGTGAGTGTTGGGAACTGAACCCGGTCCTCTGAAAGAACAGCCAGTGCTCTTAGCTATTGAACCATCTCTCCAGCTTCCTAGCACAAGAAACCATCTTTTCTTGAAAGATGGCAGAGGACTATTTCCTATATAAAAGCAGGTCTTCAGGATCTACTAGTCCTATAAAAGCAAAAATCAGTATATATTGCCAACAAGTGAAGAAATGAACATATAACAGATGTAGGAAAGGGGGCTGAGGAAAAGAGTTTAGGCTTCCTTTCCTTCTTATTCAAAAAGAAATAGAACCAGCCAGAATGAAGCAAAAGTTTGAAGCAAGTATAGGTATAGCTAATGCTGCCACAGGCCAGCACCCTTTAACCACCATACACCCAAACCTCTGATACCAAAACTACACTTGGCAGCAACATGAACCAAGAGAGACACAAGGTACTCAAGATGAAACCTGGATAAAGGAGAGAGTAAAACTTGGCACACATAGAGCATCTCTGCTGTCCTGAAGATGAACATTGGTAGAGTTGGAATCTTCAGAGCAAGAAGAAGAGGCATGTAGCATGTTCTGAGGAATATACACTACAGCATGTAAACACAGAAGAGAACAGAGTTTTCAAATGTGGGCTTTAGGATCTACAGTCTCAGAAGTTTCTCATGATCAGACAAAAACCCAAACAGATGCAGGAGTGCGGTAAAAGGACTCTCAAGGAAGTACAAAACTACAGTGCAAAACGGAGGAGCAGCTCGGGCTGCTCCCACCCAGCCAGGGAACCCTACCAGAGAAAAGGCCCATATTGGAGTCTGAACCCATCCTGAGGGCTGAACTCTGTTGACAAGGATGTCCATGCTGAGGATAGGCATGAGGGTGACCTGTGTGGCTGACCAGGCCAGCAGGCCAGGAGAGGCAGAAAACAAAGAATCACAGGGGACAAATGTAACCAGTGGACAATGGGCCAGAAGGAGGAAAGAAATTCATTTTGTGGTGTAGCTGGGCTCAGGCATCAGGGAATGGCAATTAGCAAGACCTCCATCTTACCTGGTCACATCTGGGACAGATGCTGGGAGCACATGTTTCATAATGGTCTGGATCCAGTTCCGTCGTATGCCAGATGTCATGGCTGACAGGGTGAACTCACCCTTCTTGGTCTACACAAAAAATACTAACCATCAGTGGTCAGCCCACAGGAAAAAGAACTAGACTAGGTGACGTTCCTAGGAGTGATATGATCTGCTTGAGACAGGAAGACTAATAGGGCCACACTCTGGGAGAGTGATGAGCTGAGTGTCCCCTAGACAAGGCAGTACACAATTATGCAATAGCAGCAGCCTGCAGACAAATAGATGATCACATGTGTCCCTTTCCTCAAGAAGCTCTGCTAGCCCCAGGGATAAGAACACAGAACTAGCTGGGAACAGGGAGCATGGTGGCGAGGCCCAGCATCCTACAGCCACAATATAGGTGTACAATGTGACAAAGGGACTGCCTGGGGTCTCTAGCTGCTCTAAAAGGGCAGCAAGATGTGCCACACCACTCCTGTCACCATCTAGGTGATGAGAATCAAGGTAGTGGCAGAGGAAAGGTGATGAAGGGACAGGGCATCACTGGCTGGACAGGGGTCAGGATGAATCTGTTCACAGTGAGGACACTGCAAGCAGACGGGAAAAAGGAATCTGTCAGTAGCATACCAGCAAATCAGCTTAGGAGAATGAAACCAATACAGGTTGGGGACAGGTAATGGTATGGGCATGGGTTGTAATACCACAAACGACATATGGGGGGGGGCATTGTGCTGTGACCCAATCTCTCCCTCCATGGTGGGCTGTCACACACCTGGCTCACTCCCCTTCACGCAATACAGCCATGGTGTACACAGCCGCATGGGGCTCCATTCACATTCTTAGCTAGCCATTCAACCCTTGATGCAGGTGCTTTTAGGGTCGGGCCTCAGATTTGCTGGTGAGCTTTCTTGCCTAGTCCATGCTCTCAAAAGACCCATCATTTCCCCAAACCCTCTACTGGCTAGGACTGCAGAGGATCCATCTCTACTGTGAAGTCTGTGAGTAGTGTATATGGAACCCTCCAACACACTATGGGTTTCAGGAGCTCTCAGGTCTTATCTCACTCAAAGTTCCTCCCTGGCATCTTCAGCCCCTCTTTCTTTACTTGCCCAACACAACTACAATCTCCCTTTGGTCTTCCTTCTAATTGCCCCCTTACCTCATGCAAGTTCTCCCATACATATTTTACTAACTAAGGCACATTTCTGGTGTCAACAGTCAGTGCTTTCCACACCTTAAGACAATATTTGCCCTGACAAACATTCTCAGGTTTTACCCATCACCTAGCCTCTGCATTGGCACCCTCTTCTAAACCCTCAGGGTAGGAAACCAAGTCCACCACTGGCCCCAGCTAATGTGGGGAGAAAGCAGAGTTCTCAGACTATGCAAGTATTGTCTTGAGATATCTGGTAATCAAAATGAAGATGCGGAAAGAGTCAGGACTCTCATTGAATAAGAGGTTCATCTCAACATTCAGACTCCAGAAATGTTCTATCTCCTCCAAAGGGAACAGGAACAGAATACTGTAGCTGGGCAGCAAAGAGCCAGGCCATGGGAACAGCTATGGGTCCTTCCCCAGATACCCAGTACATGCAGTAGAGTCATGGTCAAGCTGCCCAGAAATGGGTGCTAGGCTCCTCCTGGCCTTTAGGGGTGTGGATTGGTCCCAACTTTAGTGGGTTTGAGACAGCCTTTAAGTCAGCAATAAGTTGAGTTCCCAAACAATAAAGATCTTTGCCCCAGTGAACCCACCAGACTTCTAGCCTTGAGCTAGAACTCAAATCCTAGAGCCTGTTCTACCTGCCATCGCTTCAAAGGTTTTGGTGAGGGAAAACAAAGGTTTGCCCCAAAGTAGGGGCTGGCTTTGTCTTGTTCCTTAGACATGTCTTACAAGCCCAGAATTCTGGATGACTAGAAAAAACTTGTGGTCAGCCTAGGACCCCTCACTTGGCAGTGACAGTGATAAGATGGTGTGAGGAGCAGACTCCTGTATCAGAAAGAACAAACACCAACCATGAGCCTAGGCTTAGAGATGGATGCCAAATAAAAGGAGAGAAACCCAGTTGACTGTAACAAATGTGAAGCCTCACTGTAGATGGCAAATGTCCTAGAAATTCCTTAACCTGATTCTAGGCAGCCCTTAATCTTTTACTCCCCATACTCTTCATCCTTCCAGTGGTCCTATACTCCAACATTAAAAATAAAAGAAAAAGAGCCATTTCTGGAGCAAAGCCTTTCAAAAACCTTGGAAAGAAAGATGAAGAAACCCATCTTTTTGCCCACATTATGTATCAGGAGTATAGGTCAGTAGCCACAGGATAGAGACTTCATGCTAACAGGAAAGACTGAATGCTCATCACACATGTTAAGATATAACCCTGCTGGTCAACTCTATCCATCCCCACACTCACATGAATCTGAAAGCCATAGTTTCTCTGGACTGGATACTCGGTGACATCATAACAGGTGGACAAGTCTATTTCTCCATCTAGGTCAGCTGCCTGCAGAGAAAAAGGGTAGGGAGAAATTCAGGAAGAAAGGATGCCCAAATCAGCACATTTCTGTGAGTGATGTCTTCCACTGAGTGCCTTACAGGGCCAGTCCTTAGCCAATTATTCTACAACTGCCACATCCAAGTCCCCTCCCTTGGGATATCTATACCACCATTTCCCTGTATGTCTGGCCAAAGAAATTCCACACCAGTGTCTCCTAACTATCCATCTCTAAAATTCTTCTACATGCTTAAAAAGTAAGAAGATTCTCTGTGCTGGCTGGATTTCTGTTAACTTGACATAAACCAAGTCATCTCATCTGGAAGAGAGAACCTTGAAGTATTTCCTTATCAGATTGCTTATAGGCAAGTTTGTGGAATGTTTTCTTGACTGGTATGGAATGGCCTAGTCCACTGATCCCCTGAAGGTAATCTTGGAAAACAAGTATAAAACAAAACAAAACAAAACAAAAAAACAAAAACAAGCAGTGTAAGCCAGAGAATAAGTCAATAAGCAATGTTTTTCAAGTCTCTGCTTCAGTTCCTACCTCCAGTTTCTGACCCAACTTCCCTTTGTGATGGACTATAGACTGTAACATAATAAACCCTTTCCTCCCTAGATTGCTGTAGGTGTTTTGGTGTTTATTACAGCAAAAAGTAAACTAAAACACACTTGTATAAGTGAAACTCACCTATTAATGATATTTTCTGTATCAAAAATTAGAGATTTTAAACATTATGTATTCACTTAAGGAAATCTTAATAAAAGTTGAGGGTGGTGGTCCACATCTACAGTTTGAGCACTTGGGTGGTTGGGGAGGAGGGCTGTGTGTTTCAAGTTAGTTTGAGCTACATATTAAACCTCTTTCATGCTAACATTAAAATAAGTGAAAAATCAAAGTATGACTAAGAACCCCTGGTTAGCGTGGCCATGTTCATCTCTGCAGGTCTCCTACATGTTGGGGAGGATGCTGGATTATTGTATGCCTCCATTCAGTTTTCTGTGTTTATTCTGGCCAGCATGAGTGAGGACAGAGTGGTCAAACAGAGACAGGAAAGGAAGAATTTTCAAGGAACTAGCTGGTCTTTCACGATGAAGTCCCATCTCAAAGCTTAACTGCAATGTGGAATCTGCAGTCCTATCAGTGAATATTCTGTGCTGGTAACACTGAAATCGACAGTTCTACCCTTTCAACATCTCTTTTGCCAATCATGTTCTGTAACATTAAATATTGGTCACAGAAAATATTAAGCTATGCATAGCTTTCAAATTGCTGTGGGACAATGGTCTGTACCATCATTTGTATTTTAAATAAACGCTGGTTGGCCAGTAGCCAGGCAGGAAGTAGAGGCAGAGCAATGAGAATTCTGGGAAGAGGAAATAGTCTGTCTGCAGTCATCACCCAGACACAGAGCAAACAAGATGTGACTGCCTAGACGAAAAAGGTACCAAGCCACGTGGTTGACACAGACAAGAATTATGGGCTAATATAAGTTATAAGAGTTAATAAGAAGCCTGAGCTACTAGACCAATCAATTTATGATTAATGTAGACCTCTGTATGTTTCTTTGGGACTTAAGGACTGTGGAAACCGGGCAGGACAGAAACCTCACAATTCATTCTGCAGAAGCAAAATGTTAAATCACTGCTTATTTCATCAGCAGAGCTTGCAGATAAAGAGAAGCTGTTGAGATTATGAATATGAACCTGCCAAAATTCTCATTTTCTTTTCTTGATACTAGGACTCTGTACACTGCCTAGGCTGGTCTCAAATTCTTGGGTCATGTGACCTCCCTGCATCAGTGTCTTGAGTGGCAGATACTACAGACAGATATGCATAATTGTGTCCAGACTAGGTATTTCTTTGAAAATATTTTTATATGCGTGAATATTTTATTTGAATGCCTGTAAGTATACCATAGGTGAGCAGTGCCCACCAGTAAGTATCACTGGATCTCTTGGAACTATAGGTATAGGCAGTTGCGAACACTCATGTAGTCCTCTGCAAGAGCAGCAAGTTCTCTTAACTGTTGACCCATCTCTCTAGCCCAATTGTTTTTTTTTTTGTTGTTGTTGTTGAAAGCTCAAACTCTATCATAATTGGCAACAAACTGTCCTAGAAGGGATAAATTTCTGGTTTAGTTTCATGAAAATGCCTGCCAAACCCTCAAAATCAAGTGATCAGAGCTTATCTGTCAGCTGTTTCTACAAATAAGTGGTTAATTGTACAGATATGCTTCCGTAAAGTTTTGCAAGCAGTTGAGTGACTGGCAGACACTTCCCATTTAAAGAACAATAAAAACAGGATAGCAAGGGATGCTCAGTAAAGGTGCTTCCCACACAAGCCTGATGGTACAAGTTCCATCCCCAGATTTAGAGCAGGGAAGAGCTGACTTCACAGTTATCCTATGATGTCTACAAGAGAGCTGTGGCATGTGTGCACCCCCACACAGATCATACACACACACACACACACACATACACACAAACCACAGACACACACACACACACACGTAGTAACAAAAGTTTAAAAAGAATACTAAAGAGATGAGGCCTTCAAAGGTTGCAACTTAAAAATATCAAGCACTCATCTTTAATCCAGCACTTGGAAGGCAGAGGTAGGAGGATCTCTGTGAGTTCGAGATCAGCTTGGTCTACAGAGTGAGTTCCAGGATAGCCAGGACTATACACAGAAAACCCTGTCTTGAAAAACCAAAAATAAAATAATAATAAAAATGTAATAAATAAAAATGTAAAATATAGCTGGGCGGTGGTGGCACATGCCTTTATCCCAGCATTTGGGAGGCAGAGGCAAGTGGATCTCTGTGAGTTCAAGGCCAGCCTGGTCTACAGGGCGAGTTCCAGAACAGCTAGGCTAGTTACACAGAGAAACCCTATCTCGAAAAATCAAAACAAATAAACAAATACAAAACAAAAAAACCCAACAAAATCCAAATATATACTTATATATATATAAAGTCATAAATAAATAAATAGCCAAATAAATGAACAAATAAATGGCCTATTTTGTTGTTTTTAAACATCATTGACTGTAAAGTAATAATACAGGCCAGGCCCACTGACTGTTGGTACAATTTGACTTTGGCCTATTGCCAAGGCATTGTTTGTTTTATTTAATTCTGCTTCTGTGTAATCAGTGTTATGTCAACACAGTTCTGTTAGTAGCACAATATTGACTCTCACAATACATCCTACTCTAGAGGCTGGTATTTCGGCAGGTAAAGGTGCTTATGACCAAGCCTGATGATGACCTGAGTTCAAGGCTTCAATCTACTTGGTAGGACAGAACTAAATCCTACAAGTTGACCTCAGTTATCCATGCTGCAGCACATCTGCGCACAATAAAAACAAAGTTGGTGTGGGAAGTCCTTCTATCTATGTTTTGCTTTTATTGGTTAATGAATAAAGCTGTTTTGGCCAGTGGCTTAGCAGAATAGGGCAAGATGGGAGTTTCGAGCAGAAAGAGGAGAGTAGGCGGAGTCAATGAGAGACCATGGAGCCGACAGGAGAAAGATGCAAGCTGCTAGTTGGAACCTTGCTGGTAGGCCACAACCCTTGTGGTAAAATATAAATTAACAGGAATGTGTTAATTTAAAATATAACAGCTAGCTAGAAAGGCACTTAAGCTACTGGCCAAACAATACTGCAATTAATACAGATTTCTGGGTAATTATCTCTGGAGTCTGGGTGGCAGGGAAACGAACAAGCAGCCTCTGACAACATAAAGTTTTAAGCTGGGCAATGGCATACACCTTTAATCCCACCACTTGGGAGGCAGAGTCAGGCGGATCTCTGTGAGTTCGAAGCCAGTCTGTTCTACAGTGAGGACAGTAAGGACTTCCCACAGAAACCCTGTCTCGACAAACCAAACCAAACCAAACCACCCCCCACCCCAAACCATCCAGTTTGGAGTACTAGTTACCCTTTGCTCAAAGCTTACCATGTCCACAAACTGGATCTGCTTAGCTCACCAACAGCCTTCCTCCATAGGCCATGGAGACTAATGACAAGAATTTAAATATACAAACCAGCCCAAGAGATTCTTTTCCTTTTTCTATTATACAAGCATAGAATGGCAAATGTGAGATTCTTGAAGATGGATGGGTGTTTCTGAAGGATGCCAGATAAAGTTAGCAGGGAAAAATCAGAACACAGATTTGTCAGGTTGTTCAAAAGACATTTTGGTAGGTGAAGAAAAGCACCCCTTCTAGTTGTTGTTCCAGGGGTGGTAGGGAAATGACTCATCAGATAAAAGCGCCTGCTGCCAAGTCCATCCCTAGGACCAACATGGTAGAAGGAGAGAACTGACTCCCACAAGTTGTCCTATGGCATCCACTATTGTCCTATGGCACAGTGTTTTCCCCTATGCCCTAACACACACAGAAAATAATTTTTTAATGTAAGCCTCTCTACCACAACAAGGTAGAACAAGATCTAAGTTAATTTGTCCAGTGACTGAATTTACCACAACCCTTTTGCTAAAATCCAAAGACAAAACTAGACCTGACTTCACCCTGAGTACTAATTTAATTGTTTTATTTATTCTTTGGATTTATTTGTATGAGTATTTATTTGCATGCGTGTATGCCAGTGTGTAACATGTGCACCTGAAGTCTGAAGGTCAGAAGAAGGCATCAGATCCCTAGAACTGGAGTTACAGATGGTTGTGACCTACTATGTGGGTGCTAGAAACCAAACCAGGTCCTTTATAAGAACAAATTCTCCTAACAGCTGAGCTATCACTCCAGTCCTACTTCATTGTTCTTGAAAGAATACAGAAAAGAGACTGACCAAAAAGCCACTACACCAAGAAAACCAATTCAAGGCCTCAGAGGATGACCACAGTGTCTGTAGTGGGAAACAGTTCTGCTATCAAAGCTGAATCAACTGCATGCACTGAGACTCTGACACCCGAGGCAATAGGCCACCTTTTCAGATACATTTTAGCCCTGTATATTTAGATATCAGTTTTGCCTTGTAGTTTTCTCACCTCCTCAGCCACGGAATCCCTGTAGTATCTCAGGCTCTGATCGGCCAGGACAAACCAGTGTTTCTTCCACTAAAGGAGAGAAAAACATCCAACTATTCTGCAACATACCTGATGCCCCTCCTTGACCCCAGCTAAATCTAGGCACTCTGGAGAGCACAGGTAAAGCAGGCAACAAACAGATGACTATTCTGGCAGGCAGCCATGCGCTCATGACCTCAGGGAGGCCCTGGTTAAGATGCACTCCAGCAATGAGGCAGTGGAGAATTGTGGGTCTCAGCCAGCTCTGTGCCCATGGTGTAGTAGGTGACTGGTGCTTTGCAGTCCTTCATCCTAACTTCAGAGGCTGCAGACAGTTCTGCTGGGTCTATCACACAGAAAGGTGGCTGTGAAAAGGGTGTTGAGAGGCACAACCACTTGGCTGATAGACCAGATGTGTGAGCCCCACTGTGTCAGCAGGTACAAACTAACCTGCTAAAGTCCCAATCTTCACTCTGAGAAAGGGAACTTGAGTCTTCAGGTAAGGCCAAGGGCATTTGATATGGTGGAAGAAGGAGAAAGAGGGGATGCTTTGGCATAGTCTCCAAAGGCAAAAAGGAGCTAAGATAGTAGAGGCCTCTAAGGCAAGGACCCAATATGCTCCAGGTCAAAGTGGGGCTTGCAAATGGCTCTTCCTGTTTGGACTTGATAATATTCACAATTCTCAGGACCTAATGGCACCCCTAAAACTGAGCTGGTTTTTTCAAACACAAGGATTTTGCAGCCCCATGTGATTGCCCATATGGCTGCCTTGTATGGATACTCAAGCTAGCCCGTAGTCATACGCTGGTTGTTCTTGCCTCTGGGAAAACCTAGACTCTTAAGAACTTTTAGGAGCTAGTACTATAGATGTCCGTAGGCCAAGGACATGAATCAATTCTCAAAGACCCTGCCAGGGACAAGACAAGCTGGGACTTACACCTGTTCCCCAGTCCTCCAGGCCTCAGCACTTACACACACTCACCTGGCCATCCTCATACTGCTTGGTTAGCCAGCCTTTCTTGAAATTCAGTAGGTCAGGCTGAGGAAGAAAAAAAGAATAGCTCAAGGGAAACCACCATGGGTCCCCAGTGATGGACAAACCATGTCCAACCGGGTTGTTTTCATCTAGATGAAGTAGCACCAGAAACAGTTTTTACCACCTACCAGATAAGCCTGCCCACTCTTTTGCCCCAACATCGCTGCCCAGAGGCATATGTCCCTGAGGAGGGAGTTGAGGGACAAGGGGAGAGAGGACAGCCTCATTTAACTTAGGCACAGGAACACAGGCTGCCTGGTTGCTCTGAGATCTCTATTCCAGCTTATCCAGGGCTTGTGTGCACCCTGCCTTGGGGCACAGAACAGGCCCCAGTGGAGAGTTCCCAGGCACTGAATGTACAGGGGGACACCTGCAGTAACAGCTGAAAGGGGAATCCAAAAGCTCCCGCGGAGGCTGCAGAAGGACTGAAGGCCAGAAGGCTGAGAGGCAGACCACGCCTGGGGTGGAGAAAGCAGTAGCAGCAACCTTGTCCAATTTTCAGGAGGAACTTCAGTCTTATTGAAGTTAGGAAGGTAGGTCAGGGACTATACAGGAAGGTAGGTCAGGGACTACCAGCAGACCCGAGTGGATGCTGGCTCTACTTAAGAGCAGCCTGCATTCTGCTGGGGACTAGTTCTCATCTGCTACATTATACACCTGGAAGGCAAGGCTTTGAAGACCCCAGCCACCCCTTCTGTGGTCCCCAGCGCTTAGGTCTTCCACAGCTGTCCTCATCAGAAACTGGCTTTGATGTCTCTTACTACTCCAAGGACAGGGAGTGATCCAGAGAAATGACAACAATAAGGACAGGCATCCTGGGAGTTCCTGCTCCATTGTGGAGAGGCCATAGTAGACTCCTGCCTTGCCCCAACAGACCATGGTAGATGAGGCATCCCTCTGTGGAGCCTTGCTGTAACCCTTCTACAAGAACTGTTTGAATTCTTCCTTCTACAAGAAATGTTTGAAGTATCAACAGAAATGGAGATATTTTAGGATGCCCCAGCACAGAGACCTGTACAAAATGAGATCCCTTTTAGGTGTGCACAGTTGTTGCTGCTTCATGAGACTTGGGATGCAGGCCTGCTCACTGTCTTTCTGGCTTCCCCTGCTGAGCTGCGGATCTATGAGAGACTCTTAAACTTTCTGCTGTGGTTGTCACTGCTGTTGTGCCTGCCTCAGGGAATGGTGGAGGTTGGTCCCTGTGGGTCTTTTCTCCCTGGGCCTCTGGTAGCTGCCAGGAAAAGTAGCTACCAGCTGAGTTGACAGAGAAACTGCTCTGCCTGGGGAATGAGAGCTGGTGAGTGTGCCTTGTCTCCGGGGAGGCTGTAGACTGTTGAGAAACCAGGCCGAACTTTGTCTGCAGCTTCACTCCTGTACATACTCTCAAACGGGACAAACTGTCAGGACAGTGTTGCTCCTGTTCCAAAGTGCCAACAAAAACAAACACCAAAAGCAGGACATCAGAAGTCAAGTTTGGGCTTTACACCTGCATTGGCCCAGCCGCCTCCCGTGCACAGAGACTTCCATGTGCTACTCAGGGTGCCACATCGCCCCCAGTTCTGTTGGGCCCAGGATGGGAAGAATGGTCAGTTTCCAATGGGTTGCAGACCAGTAGGGCACTCACAGGCATGAGGGTGGTACAGAGGGAGGACCGGTGTGGACATATAGACATAAATGGACAGTGGCCCAGAGTGGCCAGAAGCAGCAGTGGTAGTAGCACAGATCTCCAGAGAACTTGGCACGAAGCCTGGGCTCACCGTCATGGAGGATTCTGTGGACCTCCTGTCCAATGACTTGGCTCTTCGGTGTGGAGACAGGGGACAAGCATCTGAGAGAGAAGCTGTGGGGGCTTCACTGGCAAAGTCCTGTGGCAGAGAGCAGCCACCCATCAGTATGGCCCAGGGCAGTTTGGGTAGGCATAGGGGCAACATGTTGGGTAGTTCATCCCTCCTTGAGCAGGGCAGTGCTCTGTCTAGGCCCCACAGCAGATTCTGGGACGACCCATGTCCTGGCACACTTGGGTCAGTGGAGCAGCCTTTTCTGGTCATCAATGTCCTGGCCCTACCCAATTTTGCAGCTTCTCAGGTTACAGAAGAAGACAGCAGGCATTTCGTGAGCAACAAAGAAACTGGAAAGAAGGACTTGGGTACAGCAGGCCACAGAAGAGGCAGGTGGGCAAGAGGCTGGAGGAGTCTGGGAGGAGGACAGATGAGGTCTGATGGACCTTGTGGGCCAAGCAGAGAATGATGGTACACTTGTCATTCCAAAAACAAAACAAGGAAAGGTGTCATATTTGTCCCCTGTGGCCTCAGTGGGAAGAAACTGTGCTAGTTACACCTGGGATCTAAAACTCACTGAAGCATCCTGTGGCACAGAAGGCTGATGCTGCAGGAGGGAGAGATGTGGAAGACAGGCTGGTGCTCAAGAGGCTAACTGGAGGAGAACGAAGAGTGGAGACCCAGAAGAAATATGTCCCTGGTAAGCATAGGACTCAGAGCACGTAGGACAGTGTGTTCCCCAGACCCAAGCCATGCTGCCAAAGGCCCCACTTAGCCCACACTGGAGCTCACCCGCTTTCTAGGGATGGCCCGTTTCTCACTGCGGCCCTGACGAGTGTCACTTGATGGAGTGGTCATAATCAGCATGTTGGTTTCCATGTGCTCTGCCTTTTCAATGTCCAAGGCCTCAAATTTCTCAATTACCTGGGACCTCCTACAAAAGAGGACATGAAGCTGCTAAACCAGAGTCTCCCTGTTTCCAAGGTGGGCTAGGTCTCAAGTCCAGTAGGGGTCCTGTAGTCACCTTACACACCTGGCCTACCTCACTAGGCTCCAGTGCTAACCTTCCTGCTGCCATGTGAGGCACCCTTCACAAAGTACTGATAGGACTTTGGGTACAGATTCGGTCTACTTGAGTTCCATTTGTTCCCCCCTTCATGGTGGGCTGGAGCAGCAACAGAACCCTTCCACAAGGGGCCTGCACTGGCCCTGCCCCACCACTGGACTGCATGGTACCATGGTACCCTCCCTGAGTCAGACACAATAAACGTTAACCACTCCGCACACACTGCACCCCACATGGGGTGCTCAAAATTTAACAAGATAAAGGCCCGTGAATTAACAGTTTCTGCTAACATTAAAAGGAATCAAAATCAAAACAAAACAAAGCAGTTGATTTCATGTGAAAGGCCAGCGGCCTCATCAGGTGGTCTGCGGCTGAGACGACGGAGCTGAGATGGAAGCGAAGCAGGTGGAGATGGCGCGAACGCCACAGTGACACAGCAGAGGGTGGAGAGGGCAAGACCTGAAAGAAAACAAGGCTGGGAAATGAATGAACAGAAAAAAAAGACTGCTTTTAAAATTCAAATCATGATAAATCAAAGTTATCTAAAGATTTAAAGCTGAAGAGAGAAACCCATGATCACCCCATAGCCTGAGGAGTCACCGTGGAGGGATTAGGCAAAAGGCTTGGGCTGCCTACCTGGGGTCCAAGAGCTGATTTAAACCTGCTGGGAGGACCAACCTTCTCACCAAACCTGAGGCCTGCTCTCCTAGGGACACCTTATTCCCTCAGAATGAGGGCTGGCATGACTTGTTCTGAAAGAGTGGTGAGGAGCTAAGGGGATGTGGTAAAGGTTCCTCCCAGGAAATTCTCTTTTCAGGGATCACTACAATCTACCTTGAGAGGGCTTTTTCTCAAGGAAGTTAAGAGGCCAAGGGCAGGCAGCCAGGATTTAGGAGGGCTTCTGGGCGCTCTGCCTCCATGCTCAGAACTGTTAGAAGACTGGTGTGGGTTAGCCTGCTGACCTACAGAGGCCTAGGGTAGGACTGTGAGAGCAGTTAAGCTAAGCAGCTGCTGAAGTGCAGTCACGGTGTATTGCACAGCCAGACTGCTGCAGGAAGATCTGGATAGCCACAGCCTTGGGGCTACTGCTTCTTCTTGGTCTGAAAGCACTGTATCTGGCTAGAGGACTTCAGGCCCCAGAATAGGAGGAGGGTTGTGCCAGGCCAGGCTGGCACGCATGATATGGGTTTGTAGGGTTCCAAGCAGAGTAGCCAGCATAAAAAATAGGAGGCACTTGCTATAGCTGCTTTCCATGGACACCAAGAGATGCTGTGAGACCATGGGCTTGGGCAACTTCTGTATAACTAACTGGTTCTCTGTTGCTAAGCTGGTGTTTCTGAAGTAACAGATATCACAGAAACTGCCTCACTCAGGTGGAACTGACAGGTGTAGATCTCACACAGGAAGATGGAGGGGCCAGGGTTCCAAGGGGATGGGGTTATTTTCTGGTTACTAACAGTGTTGTAAGGACCACAGCTTTCCCACACTCAGCAGACAAGGGCCTAAGAACTGTCTAAGAACTCCTCAAAGGCTCTGAAGTCTGAAGAGTAAAAAAGCTCGGAGCTGCTCTTCCTCTCAGATGCAGCTTCTTACAGGCCTACTAAGGTTTCCAGAACTGACTTTGTGGTTTCAACTGCCTGGCTGTGTGGCAGGTCTGTCTTGGCTACCACTCAATGCAAAGTGGTTGACATCTTGTCACCCTAACCTATCAGGGACAAGGATCCAGTTCAGTACTAGGTGGACTGCTTGGGCCTCAGAGAACAGTCCTCAAAGAGCAATACCAACCAGCGAGATCATTCAGAAAGGGATAGTTACAGGGTTAATGTGCAGAAGTAGTCCAGTACCAACACCAGCGGAAACCCATTCCCATAGTGGCAAAGAACATGCAGGAATAAAGCCTTGAGACTGCATCTATCTCTGGCAGGCAGACAAGAATGCTTTCAAAATTAAGTACTCTGACAAGTGGCCAAGCCAAGCAGGTGTGCAAATTGTTGACTCTGGCCTGACACTAACTTAAGGTATAGTCAACCCCATTTTCGAATCACTAGATCATAGTCTGTCCACTAGCCAGTGCAAACCCTCCCCTGCCCACCCTGCAGGCCTCCTTAATTGTTAGCAAGACCTTTTACCCATTATCCCTAATGCTTAAAAGGAATCATGAGCTCTGGTCCTGGGTCCTAGCATGGGAAAGGACTTTCTGCTAAAGGCCTATCATTTGCTATTATTCATTATGAAGGGTGGGAGGTCACCCAACTTTTTGAGCTCAAGTTTTCACGTCCACAAATCAAGAGGAATAGGTGCCTTATTGAGCCACCATTGGACTGTGAAGATAGTTACACGGAATGCCAGGGAGCCATGTAGCACTCAGTGTCCACTGTCTACCCGAGGATCCATAAGCCATTTGAACAAGCTGGGTTGGGTGTTAAACTAACTGTGAGTTGTGAAAGGGGACAAGAGAAAGAAAGTCCTTTCCAATCTTATCTTGCTCCTAACCCTGACTGACCATTAGCCCACATTCAGGGCAGGGAAGACAGGATATTTCTGGAGTTGCTTTTCTGAACAGAGAACATCTTTGTAAACCTAGCAAAAGCTGGCTTTTTCCCCCCAACAAAATAGACACGTGTTTCTAACCTTTCCTGGGGATAGCAATGGGCCTTTAAAATCTGTCTGGTATTAGGTAAAAAAACCTGGCATGGACACAAAACCCAGCTCACAGATGTGACAGAGAATTTGGGAGTGGGTGGGTGTGGGCACAGTTCCAAGCTTGGGACAGCAGGGCAAGGGAAAAGCAGCAGGAGCCATATCTTTTTAGCAGTAAGCGCTACATTTCTGCCGCTGGTGGGAGCCATGTCAGCAAAGTCCAGAGGGTGTGTGATACTTGGGACACCTGGAGCTTTTCAGGCTGCCTTTTGCATCCTCGTGGAAAGAACCTGTGTTGCCCTCACTTTCTTGCGCCCTCTGCCAACTGTAGAACTGTCAGCATAAGGAGGGGCTGGTTCCTAACTGCAGCTCTGGGAGTGTTCTCTGAGAACAGAAGTAGTCCAAGAGTGAGATTCAGCCTCCTACGGCCTGATCTGGGAAGCACCAACCTAGAGCAGTCAGCCCGCAGGCACTTAGCCCTGTATCTGGCACTGAGTTGAGAACTGGTGCCGCAGTCCAGAGCCTGGAGATAAAGTGCTCCATATTCTAAACATAAATCATGTTCCTGAGGTACACTTGCGTGAGTGTTATGTATGCGTACACAAATTTAGCCCTCCAGCATCCTCCTTACCTCCGCTCGTTGCCAAACAGACGGGCCACCTCTTCCCTGCCAGGGCTCCGGGCCCGAGTCCTACGCTCCAACCGCCTTCTCTCCACCTGGAAGGCTTCTCGATGGCTGATCCGGATGGCCTTAGGGACGTCGGCCAGGGCGGCATACTGCCTGCTGGCTTTAAAGGCAAAGGTGCTCCCCAGTATCTCTGTTCCCCACCCCCCAGCACTGCTGGAGTCCAAGTGGTTGGGCGGCCTGTTGGCCTCACCCATGCTGTCAGGGCAGATGCTGTAGACCATGCGACTTGGGGCTGGAAGACCTGGGGAGTGAAGGGGGTGGCCGAGTTCCTGTGAAGGCGATCCAGGACAACCATACCTGCTGTGTGGGGTGCTGGGGCTGGGTGGAGAAAGTGGTGGAGGCAGCTGCTCCTCAGCCCTCAGGTCCTGCTTGGCCTTCTCCAGGGAGAAGTAGCCGCTCTCTACCCGTACTTTCCGACCACTATCCACACGGTCCCCACTCATGGTGCTTTCATCTGGAACAGAAGAGGAAGCTTGCTCAGACTGCTGCCAGTTCTGTCACGAGAACTTTCCAAAAGCCCGCTCATGATCAACTAGGAGATGCCTCAACATCATCTACCCTCATACTCCACAGCTACGATATGGGGTAGAGGTGGAAGGAGAGCATTGTGGGCAGAAAAAGATCATCCATCTGTGTTGCCGTTACTCCCTACCCTTTCCCCTGTCTGGTCACTTGCAGTCAGGCTGGCAAGTAGGTCTTTTGTATACAGTTTTGGTGGGGAAGCAGGACTCCATCCTAACCAATAGCTTTTTACCAGACCACAGGAGGAAACCAACAAACAAGACACCTTTCAGGCTCTTAGTACGTTTTCAAGGCAGGGAGAAAGGCTTTAATTGGCATGAAATGGAGCACAAGGATTGTGGATTGGTGTATATGTTGAAGAACTCAGATTGAGGGAGGCAGCGATAGAAACTTTAGTTCTGCTGGGGCATCACAGCATACTAAGAGGAGAGGGCACAGTAATGTTAATAGCTTCCTCCCTGGCCCTTCTTCCTAACCAGGGGCTGAGCAAGAATATAACAATGAGGAGAGGGGCAGGACTGCCCTAACTGCTACCTCTAAAGACAGGCGGCAACTAACCTAGAGGGTTCTAAGAGCTAATGTAATAGGAACTTGTGGGACAGGAACAGAGGCCTCCTCACAGAGGCAGAACAGTGTCTGTAGTTCTCCTTAGGCCAACAGAGTAGGTGCCAAACCTTTTTTCTTCACAGGTGGGGTGGAGAGGCCAAGCTGAAGTTCACAAGCCAGGAACCCAGTCATGCTAGGCCATTGCTGCCCAGAACTGATATAGAGAAGTACAGAGGGAGGAAAAGTTCAGGGCCTATGACTGAGCTCCTGTGTCACATTCCCAGTGTCATTCCTGCCCACTGGATGGGGTCCCACTCCAGCAGTACAAGATGGATCACTGCAACAAGTAGCTGATCAGCTACTGCTCACCTTCTTTGCTTTCTGGCCCTGGTTCCCGTGGGGTGCAAGCAGCAGGAGGCAGGCTTTGGCTGGGACTTTGAGATGGATTCAGGCTGTTCCCATCAGGCTGGTCTTTGGCTCTCATTTCTTCCTGCCAGAGTGTGGATTTGGTGGTAGGAACTTTCTCGGCACTGGGAATGCTGCTACTGCTGCCGCCACTGCCACCACCAGTGCTGCTTGTGACAGCCATCTTAGCAGGCCCAGGCTCCTGGAGAGATAACAATGGGGGGTGGCAGCATATGAGCACATAGCCCAGGCTAGCTCATCAGTCCTGGCTGCTAAGTTACAAGAATACAAGGCCAGTAAAATAGTGTTGGAGAATGGAAAGCCGTTCTTTTCTGATTGTTTTCTCTGGAACCACAGGATCTTGTCCAAGGGGCCTTGCAGAGAGAAGATCCTGGGTTTCTACCAGAGCCATGTCATCAAGCATGTAGAAACTATATATGGCTAGACAGTGCCTAGAATAGCAGCCCAGTTATTAAGGGTGAGTCCACAGGAGTTGATTTGGAGTCTGCCATTCCTAAACCCTCAGGCACTTGAGACATAAACAAAGGGAGACAGGACAAGGCAAAAAAGAATACTCTTCTGACAGAGGTCCACTGCAATCAAGATCATTGGGGTAATGCAGAAAGTAGATTCCATAGCACCCTGTGGTCTTACTCACTGTTAAGCTTGAATGAAATACCAGGGATGATGTGGAAGAATTACTGAAATAAGACAATGCTAAGGTCTGAACAGTTGCTCATCCACATAAGGAAAACTTATCCCATGGCTGGGCAGTGGTGGTACATACATTTAATCACAGCACTCAGGAGGCAGAGGCAGGGTGATCTCTGAGTTTGAGGCCAGCCTAGTCTACAGAGAGAGTTCCAGGACAGCCAGGACTACACAGAGAAATCCTATCTTAAAAAACAAAACAACAGCAATAACAACAAAAAAACAAATAAAATAAAAAAATCCTATCCCATTGGTGCAGAGAATTATCTGTATTCTGTCAATCATGTATTTTAATAAAACGTTGATTGGCCAGGCAGGAAGTATAGGCGGGAAAACCAGACAGGAAGTAGAGGTGATGCAATGAGAACAGGAGAATTCTGGGAAGCAGGAAGCTCCCTCCTCCATTCCTGCCCAGAACACAGAGAAGCAAGATGTAACCTTCCCCCCCCCCCCCGCCCACTGGAAAAGGTACTGAGCCATGTGGCTAACATAGATGAGAATAATGGGTTAATATAAGCTATAAGAGTTAACAAGAAACCTGAGTTAATGGGCCAATCAGTTTATAATCTTATGGAGTCCTGTGTGTGATTTTCTTTGGGGTATGCTGGCTATGGGGTGCCGGGCGGGACAGATACACCAACAAGCCGGCCCCTCATGTTACAGTCCTTTCTTTTTTGTTTAAACAGAAAAAAGGGGGAATGATGTAGGTGGGTCTTCTGTATTTCTGTTGCTTTCATTGGTTAATTAATAAAAAAACTGCTTGGCCTGATAGGTCAGAACATAGGTAGGTGGAGTAGACAGAACAGAATGCTGGGAAGAAGGCAATGAGACAGTCGCCATGAAGCTCCGGCCCAAGATGGATGTAGGTTAGGATCTTTCCTGGTAAGCCACCACCTCGTGGTGCTACACAGATTATTAGAAATGGGTTAATCAATATGTAAGAGTTAGCCAATAAGAGGCTACAGATAATGGGCCAGGCAGTGTTTAAATAAATACAGTTTCCATGTAATTATTTCGGATAAAGCTAGCTGTGAGCCAGGTGGTGGGATGCAGGCCGCCGCTCCTTCTGCAACATCCCATGTTGATGATTTGTGGAGGTGAAGCCTTTAGAATATGTTTAGGTCATTCCTCTTTAATGGAATCAGTACCCTATAAAAGAGGCCCAAGCTATCTACACTGGTCCTCCTATCATGTGTGAGAGGACTAGGAAGTTGGCACCTTAACCTTGTACTTCCTTATCTCCAGAATTCTGAGAAAACAACAATGTCTATTGTTTCAGCCTCTCAGCCTGTGACACTTTGTGAATAGCATTAGGAATCATGTAAGACACACCATCCCACTCAAGCCTGCACACTCACACCTGTCACATGCACACTTTGTTCTCATGCACAAGCTGTTCTTTATTGGTAGCCCAAGTCATTCCCCAGTTTTCCCAGGGCACAGAAGCAATATGGATCTGAGGAAAAGAGGTCTGGGGGTAGGGGTGGGAGGTAGGCTGAACTCAAAAGAAGCAGAAATCTAGTTTCTAAGTAATAAGAGAGTTGGACTCTTTAGATGCTGAGCTCAGATAAGGAAAGGATGGGAATCTCAGCCGTCCTGCAGTACCTACTCTTGTCCTGTGCCCAACCACTCATACTGCTGAGGGGGCTGCCAAGGGGATGGTTTCAGTCAATTACTATCTTGCCACAAAGAGGTGGTGATATATAATTATCTACCTCCCACTTCCATCTGGTCTCATGCCACAGAACTGGGCCTGACCCACACCTTTGACCCACAAGGAGCTTGTTCTTTCTCCTTTATAACAGTATTCTGTCTTCTGGAGGATGGGTAAAGGCTCCCCTATCCTTGGGCAAGATCCTTTGGTTAAGTTTCAAACCCTGAGTAAAACCGCTGAGGTGCCTATTTAACATATCAAAGCAGACCTGGCCTTCAGGTTCACCCAGCATCCCTCAGTCCCTATCAGTTACAGGGTACAGGGGGCATACCCCACCCCCACCCTAAACTTCTTCAGCCCAGAGGCTGGGCTGCCCTTCCCCCAGAGGCTCTTCCCTATATAGTACAGCCATTTAGGTTATTCCACCTCTTTTGTACTTTTGGTTTCTGTACCTTGTTATCGTCATACCTCCTCCCACCCCCAGGGCCAATGGCCCAGCTCAGTCTGCTCATGTCTTTCATGTCTACCCTGGACTCTCCCAGATGTCTCTGCCTCTGGCTATGCACTCCCACGTATCTACAATAAACTTTCTTCCACCATACCTAGGAGCCATGTTCTTTCTTTCCTTTTATTTCTTTATTTTCTCATTCACTTTTTCTTTTGAGCAGGTGGATGAGACATATAATTGGGTGGATACAGACACACAAAGGGTTGTAGAGGCACACACTGCACAGAGCCAGCCTGGGTTAGCAAAGGTTGCAGGCACCTAGGTTCACTGCACCAAATCCTCAGTAGCCAGCTGTCATGTTTCTGTTGTTAACACGGTAATGAATCCTGGCTGCTATCATAGGCACTCAGAAGAGCTTCTAGAGCCAAGAAAAAAGAGAGTAAGCTCCTTCTTGAGGGGTACCTTTTTCTACTTCTCTGGCATGAAAATGAAAGAGGGGCCACAGTGAGGAAGAAGGGTTCTGAAATAGAGGGCAGCTGAGGCCCTACAGAAACCAAGAATCCTAGGGAAGGAAAGACAGGGAATGTTCAACATGTCCAGATACAGAGCAAGGGCATCACCCAAGTCTTTGTCAAAGGCCTAGAGCCTTGGCAGGGAATTGGTGCGGGGGGGGGGGGGGGTGGTCAGAGAAGAGAGCCACTCTCCCAAGTTCCATGTGGGCAACAGACTTGGGAAGAGTTAGAGTACTCTTGCTACTGCCATGCCTTTGGGGGACTCCTGTTTCCCTCTACTCTAGGCCTTCTCTTCAGGAGCATATGTATGATGGCCATCCCCTCTTTAGGAACAAGCTGAAGTTAGTTAGACATGGCAGAAGCCAAGGCTTCCAGTCCTCAGTGGTCTAAACCAAAACTCTTCTAGGCTTGTGCAGGTCCATGGGAGAGAGGAGAAAATAGAGCTTCATGCTCACCCACAGAACCATAAGGGCCACACAAATGCCTCTGGCAGCAGGCTGTGTATGTTTGTGGGGTGTACCCAGAAACTTAAATCCAAATGCAGTCCCTGTCTCTCTCCTGAGGCCAACCAGAGGTCAGCTGTGGAGAAGAGGAGAGGGAGTGCCATAACACTGAGGGAAGAGTCTGGGAACTCAGTGCCTGGGCTCTGAGGCATATCCTCAGGGAATGGGTGCCTTCCCTGTCTTGGGATCATAGGGCTCTTTCTATTTGCTAGAGAGTTGGAGTCTAGTCACAGGGCAGTATCACTTGGAAGGGACAAAGTTGTGGGGGAGGGGACACATCCAAATTTCTAGCCTGACCCAAGCTGTCTCCTGTACATACGGAGTTACCTTATTTGGAGGCAGAAGCTCTGCACTGCACTGTTTCCAAGGCATCACCATGGAAACAAGGCGTAACCCTAACCACTGTTATTCAGCCAGGACTTTTTCCCCTCAAACCAGGCAGCTTGGGGGATTTGAGCATTAACTGCTGCTCCGTAGCAGAAGGTTCTACTTTCAGTTTCCCGGAAACTGACTGCATGTTTTCATTTCTCTGACTACATGTCTTAATGACTTCTAGTTAGGGGCATTGCTCTCTAGAGAAGGCTGGCTCAGGTGCCCTTTGGGCATCTTTGGTAAAGATGATATGCAGGATGGATGGTGGTCAATGGAGGGCAGGCCTGAGCTGCACCCTGCTAGGAGGAGAAACTGTCCACAACAGTCTTAGGGATGTGGGGACCAGGCCAGCCTCTCTTTGCTTCCACAGGACCCTGGCTTTGTGATGCCCAGAAGACCTATCTTGCTCATTCTCAGGACTAACTTAATTTATTTAATGTAGGTCAAAACCCTGGTGAGGGCAACGTTTGGTACAGAGGGAAAAAGATGAACACTAAGTACCTACTACTACCCTAGCCAAAGGCCCTTGCTGGAAATTCAGAATGGTGATTTTACCCTTCCAGAGCCCAAGAGTGTGATGAACACAGCAGGAATGGGGGCAGAGCCCCTCTGCCCATGAGCCCAGAATATCAGTTAGGAAGAGGGAGGGAATGAGAAAGGGTGGGACAGTGGGAGGAAGGGAAGAACTGCCCAGTCACCTAGCTCTGGTCACAGTCAAAGCAGGGACCCTCCCGGGCTCACCTTCCTTGTTGCTTAGCCTGCTATCTACAGGGACACTTCTTTCCTTCGACTGTGGCAAAAGAAAAGACAACTCTGCCCTTCCCAGAGGATGACAGGATGGGCAGGGGAAGGGTCACAAGTTAAGCTGCTATTGCTTGGCACAGGCCTGAAACTTCCTGAAGACAGCCCAGGACATTCTAGCAGGCTATTCTGCTTAGTGATTTAGAGAGAATGACATATGGCCTATGACTCCTAAAGTATAGACAGGTGGAAGGAGGCAGCATGCAAGTTGTGACCACCTCAGCCTGAGCCATACCTTTCCCTATTCTCTTGCCCTCACCTCACTTCTTCCCAGGCCCAGCTCCACTAGGAGACAGGCCAACCAGCCTACCTGTGCGGTGGGTGGCTCTACTTTTCGTTTCTTCTTCTGGTTCTGCTTGTTGGTTCTGGGATACACCATGAGCATCTCTAGCCACCTGCAAAGAAGAGAGGAGAAATAGCACTGGCTTTTAGGATCCATGACTCCAGGCCTTGCTGGGGTGGTAGAGACCTCCATCCCTCAGGTGCCCTTTCTGGAGAGGCCTATTCAGTAGTCTTAGTAGTAACACTGAGCAGGTTACCCCAAATCAGAGGGCAGAAGTTGGGTGAGACTCTATCACAGAGCAAGCCAGTAAAGTACAGGCTGTATGAAGACTAGGTCAGACAATGACCCTTCCATGGCCACCATGGGCTCAAAGCAAGAAGAATTCTCTATTCTGACAAAGAGGCAGGGCCCATCAAAGGCATTACGGAATGGAGGGATATCACTGTTCCATTACTGACCCTATTCTCAGGACCGAGTCTCAACTTTAAAACATTCTTCCAGATTTGGATTTGGCAAGTACACAGCCAGGCAATGACTGGCAGATAATTAGGGTTTTGGGGCAGATACTAAAGGAGAAAATTGGAAGTTATATCAGCAAAGTTCCCATGGTGGGTCACCTCAGGAGTAAGAGGCTAACCAATGAGACTACTACTTACACAGGAAACATGCCAGGTCCCAGGTTTGGATAAGGCCACACAGCTGTCAAGTATTCTTCACCAAAGTTTGTATTTTAGAAAGCCATTCTGGGCCAGCAACAGAAAGCAAGGAGAGAGAAAGAGGTCTAGGCAAAAGGTTAGGACCCCTGATCTGTTAATGCCACTATCTAACCAGAGCCTTGGGTACTCCGAGCTTCTTGGAGCACATCTTATTTCTGAGACTAGTGGCTAATGAGGGCATGTCCAGAATTTCAGGACTATAACATAAAGGTAAGAGGGCTTGCTTCTGAAATCTGGTCTCAGCCATGACCAAGTGGGGCACAGCAGTCAGCCTTCTCTCTAGACAAGCAGTAGCTGCAGGAATCACAAGGGCCCATGATGGGTCCAGGCCTGGGGTAGTGATGGCGGTGGTCACATTCTTGTACTTATCAGTACCCCTGGAGCAAAGAAGGGCTCCTTGAGGTGCTTCTATAATTTGGGTTTGCTGCAGGAAGGGAAGAGATGCAACCAGTTGCTTTTCAGAGTAGTCCTGAGAGCTGGAAGCTAGGGAAGCCAAGTTTTGTGCAGGGAACTACAGTTGCTACACAAAGGACTACTTAGTTCAACTCAACCCATGCCCAGGGATGCACAAGCTGCTAAGAGTACAAAGGCCTATTCTTTCAGAGTACTGTTGGTCACTTCTCCACGATCCCAAAGAAAGGAAGGAGTTACATCTGGAAGATTAGCAGATGGACAGGCTTCCCAGTGCATGGAACCCCCATCCTCCTGCTCCTTTTTTTTTTTCCAGGAAGACTGGATTTTGGAACCGCTCCATATCACTTGATATTTCTGGCAGATACTTGAGGATCCGTGATTGAAGGGAGTGACTCCTACAACTTCATCAGAATCCCAGGCCAAGATACCTTCCCATCGGGGCCCCCAGGTATGTGGGGCATAGGGCAGGGGTTGTACAACCAACCTCCAGAGTGCGCAAACACCCCTGTGTTCTACCCATTGTCACCAAGGAGCCTTGGCAGGGTGCATTCAACAAGAGGAACTGGACTGCTCAGCTACCTAGGGACTTGGAAAGTGTTTAAGGAAGAGAAGCCTGGGACATTCGGTCACTGCTAAGCAAGGGACAGAGCTGTCAGGGCTGAGGCATAATGGAACTGGTCTATATTCCTATATCTCCCTTCTTCCTCCCATGAAAAACAAAACAACAAAACAATGTCTTGCTACGTAGCCCAGACTGTTGGGCTGTTCTGGAACTCCTGATCCTCTTCTTGCCTTAGTATCCCAAATCTGGTATTTCAGGTGTCTGCTGCCATACTCAGCAACATGTGACTCTGTCAAGGAAGTCCAGTGGGATATATCCAACATACTCAGACATGTTAGAAATGTGAAGAGCAACAATGCAGTGAAGAGATGGGGATCAGTTAGTAACATGAAGCTGCTGGGTACCAAGTTTCTCTAGTTCCCAAAGGCAGAGCTAGGTCAGTAAGAATGAGAGTGGGCAGAGCTGTTGGCAGGACAGGGAGTAAAGAATCCTAGCCTCTGGGTAAGCCAGAAAGCAAACATGAGCCCCCATCAATCCTCTGGAGAAGCTGTGTCAGTATGGTCCCAGCAGCCTGGAAGTCACTCATGGCATGAGAGAACTAGAGAACGAACCCACTTCCTTCAGCCAATCTGGGTTGGGGTGGGGAGAGGCAGGGAGGAAAGCTGAGTAGGTGGTAGATGTCTCTGCTTTCCTCCATCCAATTTGGTGAAAGTATCTTCTCCTTAGGAACTGGTTTTGATGTGACAGAGCATGTAGACCAGTGGGGCCTGGGTACAGAGATGAAGAGCCATGATCGCCTTGGAGGGGGACTCGCCATTAGAGGAGACAGAGAAAATGAGGAAAAGCACTTGCTCTTGGAACATTTGTGTCATGCCTGACTTCTATGGGTACCAAAGATCCCAGCATGTGGTCAAGACTACAGAAGCTGCTGCTTGGGTCAGAAGAGGGCTTTCAGGAAGGAGAGGAGAGAAAGAGCTTCAGGTGGCCTGCTATAACTATGGCCATGACACAGACCTACCAATAAGCTGTACATCTTGGGAAGTATTAGTTAGCATACACAATTTTGAAACTACAGGCTGCTTGCTGGTACCTTGGTCAGTTAATGATCATCAATAACCATGTCTACCTAGCAGGCCACCATGGTACATGCTGACAAAAGAAGACAATAGAGGAAGGACCAAGGAGAGTATCTCAGAGTGAAGCCAGGATCCCAAGGTAGTTCTCAAAGGGATCAGTCAGACAGATGTTAAACATCACCTCTCTGAACCACATGGCATCAGTAACCCAGTTCCAGATACTCCCAGCTTGTCTTGAAAAACCTCAGACTTCCTTTTCAATCCCAAATGCCACTGGGGTCTTCCTTAGATCCAAGTCTAGGAGGGTGAGCATCCCTAGGAAAACTCACTTGGGACAGGTGTGCTGGATCAGGCCAGGTAACACCAGGTGCAGCCAGGAGGACAGAAGGTCACTCACACCTGACTGCTCCCCTGCTCCTGACCCTCTGATTCCTTGACATCATCAGAAGCCCCTGGAATCCTTAAATCTGTGTTCTAGGTCAAACTCAGGAGACACACAAAGCACTCCTCCAGACTGTCCGCAGAAGCTTGAAAAGGAGAATTCTTAGTCACCCAGCAGAGAATATCCCTTGACCAGTACTGGCTGACTTCCTCAACAGCCTCACTAGAGATACAGCTGATGTTAAAGGAAGGCAGTTTCCCCAGTGGCCTTGTACTTGCTCAAGCCAGAGGTCCTCACTCCCTCCACCCCGTGCTACAGTCTGTTCCCTTCGACCCCAGATTGACTTCTTCCAAAGATTTGACACACCTGTACTCTTTCAGCCTTATAGGATGATGGGGTTCATCACTGAAAAAACACATGCATGTATATCACCTGGAGTTTTCAGTGCTACACGGATGTGTGAGCGGGCGTGTGTGGTGGTGGTGGGCACCAACCAGTGAAGAATTCTGAAGAATACTCAGCAGCCCTGGAGTCTGCAGAATTGAGTGGACAAGCAGACAGTGCTTCTTGTGGCTCTGGACAACTTACCCACTGATGATCTCCTTGGTCTCTGCCCTGATAAAATGTTCCTTGTCGGGCGTCAGAATGCAGAGGGAGAACTTCTGCCCTGTGCGGGCCTCCCCATCCACCACATCTGTGCACTGGTTCATGTTGATGGTGCCCTGAGGGAGGGTGGTAGGCTGCAAGTACAAAACAAGTCATTCAAAAGAGGTAGTGTCAGGTTCCATAGCCACCAGCAGTCCTTCAGTCTTTGGCTCTCAAGTACTACTTCCTATCCACCAACCCATGGTGGGGGAGTCCAATACCGAGCTGGATTTCACCTCCTACTTGGAGAGCAGTGTCCTGGCTTGCACTGGAGGAGGGGCAGGATGAAGAGAGAATAGCTCAATGAGGACTGTTGGGGAGAACAGGAGGCTAAGATCCTAGTCTCAGATTCAATACCAAGGTGAGTTTTTTTGTTTTGATTTTTGTTTTTTAAGACATAAGGAGGTGAACAGAATAGAGCCACATCCCCGAGCCCTAGCTCTGAGGCTGGGAAATAGACCTAAAGCCCCACACCTAAACCTGCCATGGCTTTAAGGAGCCCTACAGAGACTTCTTGAAGGGCTAGGGATTGACACATGTACACACAGACACACAAATGCACAGTTAAGACACCAAAATAAAGAATAGAAAACTAAAATCAGAAAAGGATGGCGTTGAGAGAATCCCACTGAAGTGAAGGGCTGGTGAGAGGTCTCCATAAAGAAGCCAGAACTGTTAGCCTCACAAGGCCCCCAAATACAGATGCTCTGGGAAGGCAGACAGGGTGCTATGTATCCTATCATGCTCATTTTTTACATTGCCAGATCCTACAGGGAAATACTGTCAGTCTGTTCCAGAAGCCACAGGTGGGTAGGCTTTGGGGCAGACAGCAACTTCTCACCTAATTCCCCAAGGCCTACTACTTGAAGGGCTTCCTTTCTTATCACTAAGTGTATGGAGCAGCAGTTGGTCTGCCTTCCTCTATAGCTCTATGGGATCCATTTTTACCAAGATCCTGCTGACTGAGGCTGAGGGTGGGGCCTTGTCTGAAAGCAGGGAGTAAGGCCTGGTACCCACACTGAGCTCAGAACCACCAACCCATGAGTTACATCCGTCAAGTGTATGTTAGGCAGGCCCTCTCCAGTTAAGACCATCAGAATGATCCAAGAGTTTCTAACTTGCTTGATATAGACTCAGGGAGTGTGTGTGTGTGTGACACACACCATGATGACAGGGATGACACAGTACCAGAATAGAGGGTTCTTGCCCACACAAAGTCCATGATAGCCTTCCCATGGCTGGAAGTTGGACCACCAAACTGGTGAGCCTTTGAGCTCAAGAGCACATACCCCAGCGAAGGGTATATAAAGAGGGCCCAGCCCAGCTCTGTAACAGAGGCAGTCCTGCAATCCCAGCAGGGCTTCTTGGGGACCAGTGGACAGAGACAGTAGTCTAATACCCACTCTTGCCTGGATTCAGAGCCTGGTCTTTCTGGATGGGGAGACCCAGGATAGGGTCTTAATTTTCCTTGCCTCTTCTTTCCAGTGCCAGTCCTTCTAGTCCACGTCAGTTTTAATCATTGGCCCTCTCTAGTATGCTTCATAAACCTGGTTTGGGTGAATTGTCCTCTAAGAATTCTTCATCCCTGCACAAGGCTCACCTTATTTCTGGGACAGAAGAGAAAAAACTAATGCATGGGTATTGGGAGGACAGAATGACAAGCTGTGCAGAGAGCTAGGGGGTGATGAGATAGAAAGAACTGCAAGAGATGCCTCTTCTGCCCTGCTGCTGGAACTCCATTCCAATCCTCGAGATTAAAATACTGACAGTCAAGGCCAGATGTGGTGGTGCACACCTTAATCACAGCACTTGGGAGGCAGAGGCAGGTGGATCTCTGTGAATTCGAGGCTAGCCTGGTCTACAAAGCGACTTTCAGGAAAGCCAGGACTGTTACACAGAGAAATCCTGTCTCAAACAAAACAAAACAACAAAAACACTCCAACAACACAGCAATGGCCATGATGGATTTCAGATCTATGTCAATAGAGTATGAAATATGACAATATATCACGCAAAAGATTAGTTAAGTGGAGATGATAAAACATATCAACAAAAATCTTGTTATTTCTTTCTCAAGGGATTGGCCACAAGGCCATTCAAGGATTCAGTCACCAAACTGCTCAAGTCCCTACAGCCCTACCTTCCCCTCTCGCACAGCAACAGTCTATACTAGACCCTGACTTAGAGCTGAGTATTGCCATGGTCTCACCTTTCAACCTCTCCACCTCCCAGGCCTCAGCTCTACTTCCTTTAGAAAGGGTTACAAAATGGTCCATAGGAGGCAAAGTCAGTCAGGTAGGCACGTAAATCGGCACACATCTGTAATCCCAGCACCTGGGAGGCAGAGGCAAGAGGACTGATGAAAGTCTAAGGACAATCAGGCTAGCCAGGGCTGGAAGAGTGACATAAACTAGAATAGGACAGGAGGAAATTAGCATTCACTTTTAACTAGTGTCTTTGATGCCCCCCACTGCCCCCTTATCAGAAGGCGGGGGGAATTACTGGATCCTGACACACATACAACTAGGAACAATCAGAGAATACTATAGAAGGAAGGGGTAGCTATGGTTCTAGAACCCAATCCACTCACAGGGCTTGCAATGAGATGTGAAGAAACGGTTCCTAAATTAAATTCTCTTATTTATAGCTAATTTCTTTTTAATGGAGCTTTACTAAAAATTAATTTCTAGCACACAACTTACCTGTTTACGGAGTATAGTTCAATGACTATTCAGCATCTACAGAACTGTACAATACTCACCCCTACAAACCTCAGGTCACTAACCATCATTTCCTCCTGTCTCCCTCCAACTTCTCTGCCTCTGAAGAGTTATTCCTCCAATATTTTATACAAACAGAACCACATGGTGTGCAACCCTTTGTGTCTGGAAGCTCCTTCCTTACCCACACTCTGAAGGTAACCTTTCTGCCCAGGCTGAACAGTCATCTACCATGTAGATGGACCCCATTTTGCTTTTTCACTTTATCACTGATAGAAACCCGGGTTGTTTCCATTTGGGACTGCTGTGAACAATATTGCTGAACACTCATGTTCACATGTTTGAATGACCACATACTTTTACTGCGCTCATGTAGATAGCTAAATGTAGAATTGCTTGGTCAAATGGAAACTGTATGTTTAACTCTTTCAAATGCAACAGACTATTTTCTGAAGTGGCTGAATCACTTGACTATCAGCTGTGAAAGGCTCTGGAACTATTCAAACAAACAAAAATCTCCCCTCTAACCCCTTGGATGTAGTGTGCCACAGTATGTATGGTGTCAGCCCTTACCTTTCACTTGTTTGAGACTGGTCTCTTTATTGTTTACCACTGCATGAACAAGGAAGCTGACACTCAAGTTTTTAGGGATTCCTATGTTCCACTTCCCATTTCATCCTTAGAGTGAGGCTATATACTGACACGATCAGTTCAATGTGGATCTGGGGAACTGAACTCAAGCCCTCACACTTGTGGGGAAAGTGCTCTATCCACTGGACCATCTACCTCACTCTACATTAACTTCCCCCACTTTAACTGGCCTTCTTTTTAATGGGAGTAGCATGAATGGCAGCCTAATAGAGATATTACGAAAACTACTTTTTTCAAGTTTTTACATTTATTTATTTAGTATGTGTGTGCGTGCACACAGTACATGTGTGGAGGCCAGAGAACAAGCTTCAGGAGTTGGTTCTTCCCTTCTACCGTGTGATCCTTGGGACTGAATTCAGGTTTACCTCATTTGAGCCAACATGTGACTCTCACTTTTATTTTTAAAATTAGTTTACAAAATAATAGGTTTCCATCTGGGGTTTTGACACCTAGTTCATTTTTATCGACTCTCACCCCCCACACTTTCCCCCTCTCCCTGCCTCACTCACCACTGTGCCTGTCTGGCCTCAGTATTAATCCTTCTACTTTGCTCTATTGTTTCTCTCATTCCTCCCTCTTAGAGACTCTCTCTTTCCCCTAGTCTTTGCCCACATGTCTCCTACATGACCATGCATATTTAACAGCCGGAGCTAGGATCTGTACATAGGAGATAATCTTGTGGGACTGTCTTTTTGAGCAGGGATTACCTCACTTAAGCAATGTTTTTTGGTTCCATCCATTTTCCTGAAAATTTCATAATCTTATTTTTCTTATTACTCAATAAAATTCTATTGTATACATGTATCACAACTATTCTGAGACTCCATCTTACTCTTGTAAGAATGGTAACCAAGAAAATGACAGTAAGTACTGGTGAGGATCTGGAGAAGGAGGGACTCTTAATTCAGTGATGGGAGTGTGAGTGAGTGCAGCCACTACAGAAATGTGGAGGCTTCTAAAAAAAAACAAAAAAACAAAAACAAAAACAAAAACTAAACCACAGAACTCCCTTATGATCAGCTATCCCACTCAGAGGCTAGAGAGGTGCCCAAAGAATGTCTTTTTCTACAGAGACATCTGTATGCTCACATCTATCCCTGCTCCTTTTACACTAGCAAGGAGAGAAAACTGGCCCTAACTTTTTGTTTTGTTTTGTTTTGTTTTTTTGAGACAGGATTTCTCTGTGCAGTTCTGGAAGTCCTGGAACTCACTCTGTAGAGCAGGCTGGTCTTGAAATCACAGAGATCTGCCTGTCTCTGCCTACTGTGTGCTGGGATTAAAGGCGAGCACCACAACCGCCCAGCTGGCCTTAACTTTTATAACTATATTTATCAGGTAGTTTTAACCACTGCTGTTGGGCAGTAGGTCAGGTAAGAAAACTGCTCTCTGCAACTCCACACTGTCACTAGAAGGAAGGAGCAATCACCAGAGTCACAGCAGCACTGGAGAAGTACTACTCACCCTACTCACAAACTTGTTCAAGCCCTACCCCATCCTCTTGCTGAAAACTGCTACGGCCCAAAGATGCAAGAAGCTCCACTGCCGCCACCTTACAGACAGGGAGGAAGGACACTACAAAGTTAATATACTAGGAAGTAGCTTTGCAGGAGTGGAATCCAAGTTCCAAAAGCAAGGGCATGTATTTATGCTGTAACCCAAATTCTGGGGGGGGGGGGGTCAGCCTTAGGTGCTGCTGCCAAGAAGCCAGCCCCAATAACCTCCCT